AAATGGTTGTAGTCAGTTATGAAATGGTTCCAAACGATTCTGGATAGTTCTAAATGGTTTTGAGGTCTTGTCGAACTGTTTCAAGCATTTCTAGTCTATTCTAAAATGGTTCTAAACGATTCTAGACAGTTCTAAATGGTTTTGATGTGATCTTGAACTGTTTCAAACGGTTGTAGTCAGTTATAAAATGGTTCCAAACGATTAGGGATAGTTCAAAATGGTTTTGAGGTCCTGTCGAACTGTTTCAAACATTTCTAGTCAATTCTGAAATGGTTCTAAACGATTCTGGAAAGTTCTAAATGGTTTTGATGTCGTCTGAAACTGTTTTAAACGGTTGTGGTAAGGTACAAAATGGTTCCAAACGATTATGGATAGTTCTAAATGGTTTTGAGGTCATGTCGAACTGTTTCAAACGGTTCTAAACGATTCCGGACGGTTCTAAATGGTTCAAAAAATTTCTTTTTTTTTTTTAATTGTTACCGGCAATTTATTTAAATTATGTATCCTCCAAAATAGCGTGACGAAACATTCGATGGGTTCGTTCAATTGAGAAATGTATGTCAAGAGTTATTTAACACATTATACCTAATATATCATCTCGATTACTAAAAAATTGTTCAAATAATACTAGATGGGCTTGATATTATCTAGATGTTATTGCGAAAAACATTAAAAATAGCGAATGAATAAAATAAAAAAAATTAAAAACACTACGGTTTTGGAAATTATTTCTTGGCAAACGGAAAATGAACACGAGCAATAATTAGTCATGGTATATTAATTGGACGATTTAAGTGGTTATTTTCGAACGTCAGTATTTTAATGAATCATTAAGTGATAGTGAGATGTTTGTTCTCATTGATTTATTCAATTTAGTATTACCCGCATATTCAAACATCTACGAACACATGAGGAATTTACAAAATGTTTCCTCTATAATAATATACGACGATTATACCGTGGAATATGAAAGACATGACTGCGAGAAATAGTATAACTGATTATTACAATAAAGGGAATGAGATGACATTATAATCAGAAGAACTGCAGGTACCTACTTGTTTTGAAATTGTTCAGGAGAGTTTAATAAACGCTTACTGTTCGAAATTATTTAGAACCGTTTAGAATCATGTAGAACTATTTAGATTTGACCTGGACTATTTGAGACAGTTCAAGTTGACCTTAGAACCATTTGCAACTGTCCAGAATCATTTAGAACTGTTTCAGATCTTTTTGGAACGCTTCATGATATACTAAGAAAGTTCAGAACCATTTAGAACGATTTCAGGGCCAGTTAGATTTTTTAAGAACTTTTAAAGAATTTTCTTAACTGAAATATTGGCCAATATTCCGAAATATCTCATTTAGTCTAGGAATATTGTCGAAAAATACATGCCTTGCAAAAAAGTTCTACCCAAACGAATTTTTCTCAGAACGAATTTACCCAGAAAATTTTTTTTGAATTAAACTTTTTCGAAAAAAAAATTCCCAAGGGAAGTGTCCCCCGCTGAATGGGGGTAAGTTATAAAAAAGTTCATAAGACAAAATTGAAAAAAATGTAATCTTTTAAAACTTTTATTAACACCTTTTTTGTAAGCATTTTTTTTTGATTTCGTCTAAGTTTTTTTTTAATAACTTGTTAAAAATATAAACAATAATGGTACTTGCGTGTGTAGTGTGCAAAAAGTGGATCATTTAAATCCAGATTTGTCTTTTCATCGTTAAGTAAATTAATCATTAGGCATTAATCTCTTAGTTCTTTGCCCATTTTCTCCAAAGCATCACAAACCTGGTCATAAGTAAGTTCACTTATAAGGTAGAATAGGGTTGTGATCACAGTATTACTGTTTCCCCAGAGATTCCGCGCCTTATCATGAGTGTGAAAAATTTTAATCTGGCAACGTTGTAAATTACTAGTTTTACAACGTTTAATTCAAGACCTTTCAATATCATTCAGTTGGTAGTGGATTGACAGTGGTTGGTAGGACTGCAGAATTTTTTTGAGATTAGGCGTCCCCTAACCATACACAGCCTTTGAGTGTTTTGAGAATATAATTTTTTGTTTGTAAAATAAGTGCACCATTAATGGACCACCATAAGCACTTTTCTCAATAAAAAGTCGAATTTTAAATTTTAATCAGCTTAATTTATATTAAACAATTCCTTAACCATTTAGTTAAGAAAAACTCATAATAAAATTTCTCCCAAAAACAAAATCCTTGAAATAAACAACATTTTCTAAATATGTCATTTTTATGAACCTTTAAAAAGTGAACATAATAAGGACCACATCCAGATATAAAGAACGTTTTTTGTTAAATGGTGGTTGTCCATATTATATGACCGGTCCATATTTGGCGCACTTACTTTAATAATTTTATTCAATTATAATTTAATTTCGTTATAATTTTATAATCGTTATAATTTACGATACATATTTAAATTTTTGAAAAAAGCAGCACAAAAGATACAAAACTCGGTTATAAAGCAAAAGCTGATCGCAAGTCATCAAAATTGGGCACCTTATCCTAACCTTATCACAGAATAAGGATTTATATTGGGGAAACGATGTAGGAAAGACTTGTGATATATTTTCATCATGTGATTAGTTTTAATCACAAGATGCTTTGGAGAAATTGGGCAATAATGTCTTTGCACACTTTCAACCCCTATAGCACAAACTGCTAGAGGGGTGAATGTGTAACATCTTCGGTTTATACCCTCCCTCCCCCTACCATCCCTGAAAAATTCGTTTGGGTAGGAGTTTTTTTTGAAAATCGCAAATATTCCTAGACTATGTTTAAAAACCCGATTTATTAACAACAACTTACTCACATCATTGCGCTTCTTCTACGAATACGTTAATTCACTCGTTCTTATCTAATATACGATTCCGGTTTCACTTCCTTTTTCTAAACGAATTTAATAAACGTTCATTACGTTCTCGTACTACGTCTAGTTAGCATCAAATGGCGCACAAAAAACTACAAAAAGGCCTGAGTTTCAGTTTGCAAGAGTTGAGTTTAGAAATCGAATCGTTCGTTAACAATGTAAACGATCCCATCGATGGCGAAAGCCTCGTAAGTACCCGCTCGTGATCAGGTTCAAATCAAAATCAAAGCGAGTTTTTGAGTAATAGACGACTCGGATTAAGATCGCAGCGCCATGGTGGTGACAGCTGAAAGCTAGCTAAGTACTATTATACTGGTGTTTACGTTTGTGGTGTATAATAAAATCGGTCTTTTTTAGATATTTTTTAAGTAAAATTTGTATTTTTATAGAAGATTTCGATTATTAAGGACATTTATAACATTATTAGTCTTTTGTAGATAGTTGATAGTGTCAGGTTAGCGACAAAATAAATTGTAGAAACCATAACCCCTTTTAAAAAATACTTTTTATTTTTAGAAACAAAGCTTTTAATTAAAAATTAAATAATTCATATACATTTAGTAATGCTTCTGATGCTTCTTGGTTCTCAAAATCTATCTTAATTAATAAATTTCCTTCTGTTGATCCTCAATATTTATATCCATTGGTTCACAGGTTAGAGCAACTTTTGTTGGGCACTTTTCTCATTTTTTTTCTCTGAATATGGTCCTGGGGATGTATCACTTAACCCTTGTGGCAGATTCTAGGACTGCACAGCTAATGATTTTAATGTTCTACGTTTTACTTTAACTAAAACGATAAAAATTAAATAAAATCGATTTGAATCATAATTCACTTACCTTTCTGTAAAAAAACACTTTCGAGAAAATGTAATGAGCACACTTTCATCGTATTTGATACACTTTTTTGCGATTTTTAATGTTCATATCCACAACAATCTTCTATCAATTAGTTCCAAGTAAATCCAGACTTATAGTTTCCACAAAAACCTTCGATTTTCCTGCTTTCGGGAAAAGATGAAAACTTAAATTAGGATTTAGCTTGATCCAGGATGAACACTGGGGCATGCAGCAATACTGGTTCATTTTAAAAATCTCCAACAAACACAAAAACTTAAAAAACACAACTGAACTACACCTTTTCTAGTTGTGTTTCAGAAAGCGTCAATTGAATTTAAGAATAGTCACTTATATTTCGGAAAGTATCAATTGTATTTCAGAATAGTCAATTTGATTTCAGAAATCATCAATTGAATTTCAGAATAGTCAATTTGATTTCTGAAATCATCAATTGAATTTCAGAATAGTCAATTTGATTTCTGAAATCATCAATTGAATTTCAGAATAGTCAATTTGATTTCAGAAATCATCAATTGAATTTCAGAATAGTCAATTTGATTTCAGAAATCATCAAGTGAATTTCAGAATAGTCAATTGTATTTAAGAAATTATCATTTGTGTTTCTGAAAGTTCGTTTTTCGGAAATCGTCAAAAGGATTTCATTATTATTTCACAATTATTATTACAATTAGTATTAACAAAGAAGAAAAACTCAGTCCACTCCACAATTTATATTATTTTTTCGGACTTGAAACAACTTCTCTTCGGAATTGAAATATTTTTTTCTGAAATCGAAATTATTCTTCTGGAATTGATACCTTTATAATTTTGTCTGAAATTGAGATTGAAAAGCTATAGATATTGAAGAATTCCGCAATACAAATGATAATTTCTGAAATGAATTTGATCGTTTCCGAAATCGAACTGACTATTCTCAAATACAACTGATGGTTTCTGAAATCAAATTGATTATTCTAAAATGCAATTAATGCTTTCTGAAATCGAAATGACTTTTCTGAAAAACAATCGATATTTTCCGAAATATAAGTGACTATTCTGAAATTCAATTGACGCATTCTTAAATAAAACAGACGCTTTCTGAAATACAGTTGGAAATGGTGTAGTATGTTTTGTCATAAACAACAACAAAGACAATAGCCACATAATGGCTCTTAGCTCGGTTCTTAGACTATCCGCCAGAGGGCGTATCGCTTAGCACGAATCGTTTATTCTGTAAAATGTAATAATTAATTTGTGGGGGATTTCCAGGAGGCGCACAACATGGTCCGAGAGGCCAACGAGAAACAGGCGGCGGCCGAGAAGGCGCTGAAGGAGTCCCAGATGAAGGTGGAAGTTTTGAGCGCCGAGGTGGCGGCTTTGAAGACGCTCGTCTTGACGTCGACGCCGAGTTCTCCCAATCCCCATTTGCATCCCCAAATCGGCAACGGAAAGGACGAATCGGGTAAATACGTTGCATTTTTTTTGCATTAAAATATACTGAGTGACAAAAGTAAAAGAACACCAAGAAGCAAATTTTATTTTTCATTCAAACTGTAGAGAGTGTGTACAGCACCACGGTGGTGCAACACATTATTAATTTTTTTTAAGTTTTGTTGTTAATTTGGTGAATTAATTTTAATCATTTGTTTATTTTTCTCTTATACATGTAACTAGAATAAATGGTTAAATTTCAACAACTATTTTTTGGTGTTCTTTTACTTTTGTCACTCAGTATACATTCATTAAATTACTTAATATCCTTAAAATTATAGTCATTAAAATACACAGTGACAAAATAGTGGAGTAAGTGCGCCATATACAGTGTGTGTCACGACGAGGGCCCATTAGAAGTATCTGGAATAGTAGTTGTAATTAAAATTTGAAAATATGTGTACAAGTATTAGTCGAAGCGCTTTATTCAATGAAATTATTTTCAACTTTTCTTTACTTCCAGTTATACCGGAAGTGGACATCAACTTTGTTATTTTAAATGGGACACCCCATATATTAATATATTTCCTCCTATTTCACCTTCCTCGTATTTTTTGGATTAAAAAACTTCCAAAGTTCGCTAGTAAATTAGATCGCGCGTTTCAGAAAACTAAAAAAGGCTGTCGTAAATATATTTTTGCATCTTGGATTACTGCAAGCGATAGATGGGTTAAGGGAGGAGTAATGCTTAGTATGTGATGATCATTTACTCGATATAAAACACGTTTTTTTTTTAATGGTGATGGTCCATATTATAAGACCGGACCATATTTGGCGCACTTACTCTACCCGGAAATTTGGTATAAAAAGCAAACTTCCTAATCTTTATTAATATTTCTTGAGCGTTCTTCAAAATATGCTCCTTTTGAAGCGATACACATAGTCGGACGTCTTTTCCGACAGCCCTTTATTTTGGTACGGTTTTGAGCTCCTTCTGCGAATATTCTTTGATGGCATTTATGGAATCAAAACTGGGTCCCCGAAGTGGAAATTTGAGTTTGGGAAACAAAAAAAAGGTAGTACGAGGCTAAATCTGGTGATTAAAGCGGCTGGTCGATGGTATTTCACACGAATCATCATCTGTATCGACCAGTTGACGATATCACCGAGCCTCAAAAATGCTGTTTGGTTGAGTAAAATGAAACGAGTAGTTTCACGAGAGATGATGAAGACAAGTGCTATTTCTTTAAAACTAGCTTGATCATTTTCGAACTTAATTTCCTTCATTTTTCTCGCCATTATCATTGGTTGAAGAGGTCGAAGACTGTCTGGAATAAGGCAGTCTTTGGCGATCTCCCGACAGTCTTTAAAAGTTTTGTACCATTCTTAAATATGGGTCTTTGATAAAACAGAGTCACCTTAATCATTTGCATCGATTCGGCCCACTAAATTTCGTTCAAAACCCAAAATATGAGAAACTCATTATTCATTATTTTTGTCAATTGCAAAATTCGCAGAGCACTACTGAAATGAACTGATTTATTCAGCTGCTACAACCAAACTGATTGAGAAATATCTAATTTTTTGCATTCTAATTAAGAACAGTGTTACTTATACCGTGTTGGAAAAATTTTCGCGCATAATAGGGAAATCAATGTTAAATTCTTAGCCGGCTGAAATCCAATCTACCAGTGTACATTTCAATAGAACGTCGCGATCAATTCTAATAAATTTAATTGTTCTACTGGACTTCACACCGCGCTTTGGCTTGGTTAGATTAAAAATCAAATAATTTCGACGGTTTCAACACTTCGACAGTATCAAAACGGGTTTGGATGGGTGAACGTCGAGTCGATTACAAAGAATTGAGAATTTTTAAACGATAATTTATTGAAAAAATATCACTAATAATAAAGTAGAATTATGTAGATATGTCTTTTTGCCACAATGGCTTGAAAAAGAAAGTAAATTCTAAGAAAATAATAAAAAGAATACTCCAAAAATAAACTTAAAGACTATTTTAAAATAGAAAATAAAAGAACTCTAAAAAATAGTCCACCGCTTTCTGCTAAACAATAGCCAAACCTGTCATACAGATGTCATCTCATATTACTGAGCTGAGGTGTAATTTTAAGAAAATTGAATTATTTTTTCCTTATTTTTCCTTATTTTAACAAGATTTGTTGCTATTTCAAAACTGTACCTACCGATACACACATTTTTTTGAAATATCCCCAAAAAAACCTATTAATTGTAGTTTCTAAATAATTTTGTACCTCATACCTAACACAAATAACTTTGTACCTCTACAAATCGCGGCGTGCGGTCCAGTAGAACAATTAAATTTATTAGAATTCATCGCGACGTTCTATTGAAATGTACACTGGTAGATTGGATTTCAGCCGGCTAAGAATTTAACATTGATTTCCCTATTATGCGCGAAAATTTTTCCAACACGGTAGATGCAGATACTTGAAATAATTAAAAATATTAAGTGCAGGTAATTTAAATGCACAAATTCCGGGTACTTTTTTGTCAGTAGGTAATAGAGCTGTTTTTTGCTAATATAATTCTGAAGATGAATTTTGTGGATAGTTCAACTAATTTCGATTGTTATTTATCGAATAATGAAAATGCTTCTCTTTGCTTCAACATTGAACACAATATAAAAATGTGGTCTCTTACTAATAGGTTATGTGCCTAAAGGATGAAAGGGGGGCAGAGTTTTACTTCTTATAATTATCTTCGTTTAAAGTTCGTACGTTTTAAAATGACAATGACGTCACGATCCCACGAGGCAACGTTGCCGGGTTGTAATTTGAAATTGGTTGTTTTCTTTCAATGTTTACAAATAAAAAGAGCCACGAATAGAATTTAAGCAAGAAAAACAAGTTAAGGAGCAGAAATGAGTTTGCGAGTATTAATTTAATTGAATATTATAATACACACGCACGAAAATTACACTAAAAACTCACGAAAAACAGAAGAATTAACGCGGGAGATATTGATAAATGTACAGAAACTGCACGAAAAACTATCTACGACGGAAGAAAAACACAGAAACTACTCGTAAATTTAAAGCAAATAGGACAAAGGCAAAAGAATCATTTAGAACTGTCTATAACCATTTAGAACGCTCCAGAAAGATTTAGAACTGTCTACAATAGAACGCTCCAGAATCATTTAGAACAGTCTACAACATTTTAGAACAGTTTTTAATCTTTTACAACGCTCCAGGTAAAGACAAAAATCGCTGTGAAAGTCACAAAAACAACAAATTGTTGTCAAAACGTGTCAACTACGAAGAGTGGAATTTTGCGAGTAACGATATGGCAACAGCGCATCGGCATTTCAACCGCACATCGTAAAATTCCCCTAGTCAAATGGCAAGATAAGCATAGTTCCTAGGGGAATTTTGAACTGCGTGGAAATTACTAAAAATGATGTCGTTGTCATTTTGTCATTTTAAAACGTAATTAAAAATTACGAACCATTACAAAATATAAAAAAAGCACACACAGCTTGCAACAAGTACGTTTTTCAAATAAAATGCCAGCCTGCAATTTCTCTCTCTCTTTTTCTCTTAATTCTTTATTCTCCCAGCTCGCAATTTCTCGACGTTAGTTACGCTCCAATTCGAGTTATACGGGCTCGCCTCGTTTTTTTATTAGCTTAGCAAAACAGGTGCGGTTTTCACCGAGTTTTCACCGATTTATCAACGAGCTGCGGAAAACCGTAAACGGATCACCGTAATGCCAAAACCAATTTCCTAATGGATTTAAATAAGCGACCTCATTAAAACTAGGGAGTGATAATTTCGCCACCTTAACGTTGTTAATTAAAATCCGTCTCGTTATAATTTGAAGATAACCTAAGTAGATGGTACAGGGTGGTCCTCTAAGAATGGCTCTCGGCCATATCTCGCAAACTAATTGTCGTAGAGACTTGCGGTAAAAAATCTTATGACTAAATCGGCCAAAAGAAAATGCTGGAAATAATCTTTAGGTCTCTAAAATGGCCGCTAGGGGAAGTTGTATTTTGAAGTAATGTCGAAAAACGCCATCTTGCGGCCAAGCAAGCAATTAAAATAATATCTTATATAGTGTAAATTTTAGACCAAAGAAAGCCCGTTTCAGCAATTTCATTTTTTTGAAAATCGGTTCAGCCGTTTAAAAGTTATTAACATTTATTTGTCAAAATATTCAAACCACCCCCACCACTTTATTTTAAAAGATAGAGTCAAAAATATGTGACAAAAATATCCGAAATTATCTTAACTATCAAAATAAAACACATTTTTGATACCTTTATTTAGGACAATTTTGAAAAAAATGACTTTTAAAAATCAAGATGGCGGATACTCCCCCTAGGGGCCATTTTAGAGACCTAAAAATTATTTCCAGCATTTTCTTTTGGCCGATTTAGTTATAAGATTTTTTACCGCAAGTCTCTACGACAATTAGTTTGCGAAATATGGCCGAGAGCCGTTCTTAGAGGACCACCCTGTATCTCGCGAAATGTAGCTTGGCTGTTGAAAATTGCATTAGATGCGGTAAAGAGGATAAAAAATATGAATAAAGTTAAAGAAAAACGGAGTCTGTTGTCATGAGAACTTTACAAAAGGTACTAATTTTGATACAGCGTTGGCGAATACATTATTGTCTTAAATTTTCCCGGATTTGTAATTAGATGGTTATTTATTGAGTAATGAAAATATTTCTCTTTCTTTCACCCTCTTACACGATGTAAAAATGTGGCCTCTTATTAATAGGTTAGGTGTCTGGATTACCGATAGATGAAAGAATAAAAACCAATTTAGGTAATTACGCAATAATTTGTTAAAGTTTAGAAAATAAGCATAACATGAATAGGATGCCTTTAAATATGTATCTTAGGTACTACACTAGTCTTCTTTGTGCGTGTTATTTTGATAAAGAATTAATGTACCTATAATTTCGAATCTTCAGTGAAAATGTTCCCAAAATATTTAAATCTAAAAATTTATTTTATCCTCCAACTAATGCAATTCTATAAAAAAAACACTTTTTGGAAAGAAAATTCAAAAGATATAAATCACTCTGAAAATATACACATCAACTACACCACTGGAAATGCTGCGATCAATACTATGATTAATAATTAATATCAATTTTATTGATCTCTCGTTATCTACATTCTTCCTTCTTTAAATTGCCCTACAGCGCATCCAACTTTTTAATTTTTTCCAATTGCCAAGCGACATTTGATGAGGTATACTTGAGTAATTTATGTATTCCCAATTCGATATACGAGGGTAGGGTAAAAAGTTCTCAGCCTGAATCATTTATAAGAACAGCCTATAATCATTTAGAGCTATCTAGAACATTTAGAACGCTTCAGAACCATTTAGAATGCTTCATAGTCATTTAAAACTGTCTAAACCCATTTAGAACGCTTTCCAGATTCATTTAGAACGCTTCAGAATCATTTAGAACACTCCAGAATCATTTAGAAAGCTTTAGAACCATTTAGAACGCTCCATATTCATTCAGAACTGTCTTTAGTGAAGTCATTTAGAACTGTCTAAAATCATTTAGAACACATCACACCACTTAGAACAGTCTCCGGAATCATTTAGAACTGTCTAAAATTATTTAAGACGCTCCAGAATCATTTAGTACCCTCCAGAATCATTTAGAATGCTTCAGAACCATTTAGAACACTCCAGAATCATTTAGAACGCTCCAGAACCATTTCGAACAGTCTAAAACTATTTAACGGCCCAGAATAATTTAGAACTGTCTAGAATCATTTAGACCGCTCCAGAATCGTTTAGAACTTTTCAGAATCATTTAGAACGCTGCTAAATCATTTAAAACTGTCTAAATCCATTTAGAACGCTCCAGACTCGTTTGGAACTGCCTAGAACTATTTAAAACCATTCAGAATCATTTAGAACGCTCCATACCTCACTTAGAACGTTCCAGAACCATTTAGAACAGTCTCGAACTAAAGATTTTGTCTTAATAAGAAGAACAAATATACTGCTCCACAAAAGTTAAGGAAGTTTACAAATATTGAGATAAATTTAAAAGTTGCAGGTTTTTTGATCGCCAAATTTAGTATGAGTTGTAGAGGTAGGGGCAAAAAATTCACTCGGATATGAGAGAAAACATTATATTTCGCATATTTGAAAATTTGGTGATCAAAAAGTCTGTAACTTTTAAAATAATCGCAAAATTTGCGAACTTCCCTAACTTTTGTGGAGCAGTTTATATAATTGAACTGAAAATCGAGGTCTTTCATTGTCAGGTCGAGAACTTTTCACCTTACCCTTGTAATTTAATCCCCATCACTTTAATTCGAAATGTACAAACGAATCGAAGCATTTTAAGCAGCATTAGTAAAACAACATCAACAATTTCCAGGTGCAAAAAAACACCACAGGCGCTCCCCTTCGGATTTCAATCTCAAATACGGCAGGGAATCCCCTCCTGCGGAGTCCCCCGTCAAAAACTCCTTCTGCTTAGCCTCCAACATCGAATGCAAAGACGGTTTAGAGGTGAGCAAACGAGAAAATCAAAAACGTCCTAGTATCTCATCTACTTAACATGTAAAATTAAATTATGCAATAATAATAATTGTTCAGGTCGACCCAGTGGTACACAAAGAGTTCCTGTCGTGGCGAGAGAAACCGGTGTTGGAGAAGAGCGATCCGTTCGTGAGGCGCTCCTACGAGGAGGATATCGATTTGTGTTTGGATTTCAATAACGCGGAATTGGGGGGACTGGTCAAGAAAGCCGTCGAGGCCGGAACGATTCTGATAGAGTTCATCGGCGACAAGGGCAAGGCTACCTTTCCCAAGTAAGTTTAGATACAGGGTGATTCATTCCGAAACGGAAAGATTTTAACCCTATACAGGGTGTTTCACAACTTATCCGACAAATTCTAACCACATATGCACTGTTACGAGAGAAGTTAATTTCCCAAAAAAAAAATGTAATAAAAGTCTTACAGAAATCGAGATAATAAAATAATAGTTTAACAGTTCAATTACTTATACAAGATGTTCAAAATTGTTCCCATTAATTGCAATGCAAGCTTGGGTGCTTGTTTTTTTTTGTTTTCACCATTGTTTTGGTGGAACATTTGCTACAGTAAAGTATTAAGGCAAAATTATGAACGCAAAATGCAGTATTTATTTTTCAATTTTTTATTGAAATTCGGGTCAATCGAGATTTCTCAAAGAGAGAGAAGTTGATTTCTCAAAAAAAATGTAATAAAAGTCCTACAGAAATAAAATTATAAACCCGAGTTTCAATAAAAAATTGTTCTTTAAAGCGCCCTTTCATAAGTAACGAATTTTATGCAGTTATTAGAATTAGCTTTATTAGAAAACGTAAGTCAAAATATTTGTATTGAAACTGCTAATTTAACATATTTAAATGCCATTCTGCAGTTAAAGTATCCAATTTAGATAAAATTAGGTCATCAAGATCATTTAGTTTTAAACATTCTTGCCGAATTTCAGCCTTTTTCTACCTCAAAGCCTGTCTTCTATTTTCATAACATCTTTTTAATTGTTCAGTTCTATTATTAAAATTTTTACTTGTTGCATTAAATTATGCGGGTTTTGCATTGAATATTTTTGGAGAAAAAAAATGGTACGCCACTGCCTAATATTGAAATAAAAATTATTTTCGAAATCCTTATTCAATTTAGAACAAAAATTGATTTCTTGATTTTTTTTCGTACGACTCATCGTTTCGCATTAAAAAAATGCATTCATTTGTAGTACGCTGCCGCTACATTAACCTCTGTGCTAAAATTAAAAAATTATAAATTTAGGACATATCTATGAAGTTTTTTGCTTAAAATGGACCCAATAATCACCGCCCCTTAAATATTAGCATGTCATTATGGAACACCCTGTATAGTTAAGCCATGTCCCAACCTTTTAGAGACACTCTCTATAGTCGATGGAATTATTAAGGTTTTAATCGACCACGCGAAATTCGATTTCGTTTTATACTTTTATATATAATCTCTCGTGCCATCTTATAAATAAATAAATAAATAAGCGGAATATAAACCATGAATAAATGAATTTATTTTCAGAATGTGCGCGCTATTGGATGTTCCAAGGTTGTGCTTTTATCGAATGAATATCGGAGAAAACGACGACTGGTACCACATATCACAAATATGCCGAAATAGGGTAAACTATTTTATGTTTGTTTTAAATTTTATCACGTCTATGTATAATAAACTGTTTCGATTTATATTTTTTATTTTTTTTTTCAGATAATTGCCGTCTGTGATTTTTTGAATTACCTCAAATACATTGAAGGAGGATTAGTTAAAAGTTCTTGTAGGTATTTCCCCCTAATTTTTGCTTAATTTAAGTTCACAATTGGCATCGATTTTTTTTAAATTAACCAGGAAAATGAATATTTAATTTTACCTAACTATTATTACATTAGATTGAATAAAGTTTCTCAATCTAATTCTCAAATTGAATAAATTGCTTATGTACTACCTATTCAAATTGTTCAAGATACTTTTAGAACTGTTCAAAATCATTTGAACCATTTTATAAGTGACTAGGAAACAGTTAAGGACGATTTTAGAACTGCACAAAATCATTCAGGACTATTAATTTGAACCGGTCCAAGATAAAATAGAATAGTCCAGAGTCGTTTGGGACAGTTTCAGAACTATTTAGAACTGTTCAAAACAATTTAGAATTATAGCGAAAATCGTTTAGAACCATTTTAGATCTGACTAGGACCACTTGAATCAGTTAATGATATTTTTAGAACTCCACAAAATCAATTAGAACATGTTTAGGGTCATTTAGAACAGTCCAGGATAAACTAGAAAGATCCAGAACCATTAAGGACGCTTTCTAAAAATCTAGTTAAATATGTACTCACAAAAATCAATATTCCTCCCTTAAAGGTGAAAGGGGTTGAAATGTTTCTGGACTATTCCAGATTTTTTAGACAGTTCTAAATGATTCTTCAGCGTTCTTAATGGTTATAGACAGTTTTAAATGATTCTGGATCATTCCAGATTGTTCAAAATGATTATGGAGCGTTCTAAATAATTCTAAACAGTTCTTGATGATTCTGGAGCATTCTAAATGGTTCTAGACAGTTGTAAACGGTTGTAGACAGTTCTAAATAAATCTGATAATTCCAGATTGTTCTAGACAGTTCTAAATGATTTTGAAGCGTTCTAAATGATTCTAGACACTTAAAAATGATTCTGGAGAGTTCTAAATAGTCGAAGACAGTTCCAAATGATTCTGGAGCGTTCTGGATTGATCTAGACAGTTCTAAATGATTTTGAAGCGTTCTAAATGATTCTAGACACTTCAAAATGATTCTGGAGAGTTCTAAATAGTCGAAGACAGTTCCAAATGATTCTGGAGCGTTCTGGATTGATCTAGAGAGTTCTAAATAATTTTGAAGCGTTCTAAATGATTCTAGACACTTCAAAATGAATCTGGAGAGTTCTAAATGATCGAAGACAGTTCCAAATGATTCTGGAGCGTTCTGGATTGATCTAGACAGTTCTAAATGATTCTAGACACTTAAAAATGATTCTGGAGAGTTCTAAATAGTCGAAGACAGTTCCAAATGATTCTGGAGCGTTCTGGATTGATCTAGACAGTTCTAAATGATTTTGAAGCGTTCTAAATGATTCTAGACACTTCAAAATGAATCTGGAGAGTTCTAAATGATCGAAGACAGTTCCAAATGATTCTGGAGCGTTCTGGATTGATCTAGACAGTTCTAAATGGTTTTGAAGCGTTCTAAATGATTCTAGACACTTAAAAATGATTCTGGAGAATTCTAAATAGTCGAAGACAGTTCCAAATGATTTTGGAGCGTTCTGGATTGATCTAGACAGTTCTAAATGATTTTGAAGCATTCTAAATGATTCTAGACACTTAAAAATGATTCTGGAGAGTTCTAAATGGTCGAAGACAGTTCCAAATGATTCTGGAGCTTTCTGGATTGATCTAGACAGTTCTAAATGGTTCCAGACAGTTGTAAGGTTATTTCTTTTTATTAATACGACCTATTATTTTGTTGCAGCTCATGACGTTTATTGGGAGATCGTTCGATTGAGACGAAACATGTGCCTAGCCAGGCTGGGCTTCGCCCTTTCGTAACTCCATATCGCCCGATGCTCGAAACGTGCCAAATTATTATTTATTAAGGCGTTTTACTTTTAATCCAGATCTGATCCAAAGATTAAATATTAAACGAGATGCTCTCCCCCCTTCTACTATATTAATCTTTTGTTAGTTTTTACGTGCAATTTTAAAACGAAAAATTATACACTGTATATGTACGAATAAATTTTTTTATATATAATATAACAAACTCGTGTTTCTTTTACATTTTCTCCAACCAACCATTCTGTTGTAAATGATTCTAGAGCGTTCTAAATTCTTCTAAAATTATTCTGTAAATTTGGATTATTCTGTAAAGGATTCTAAACCGTTCTAAACGATTCTGGACCGTTCTAAATGATTCTAGACCGTTCTCAATCTTTCTGGAGCATTCCAAAGAATTCTAAACCGTTCTAAATGATTCTGGAGCGTTCTCAATCATTCTGGAGCGTTCTCAATCATTCTGGAGCGTTCTAAAGGATTCTAAAGGATTCTATATCGGAGGATTCTAAATCGTTCAAAATGATTCTGGGGCGTTCTAAATGATTCTAGACCGTTCTAAATCATTCTGGAGAGTTGTAAAGGATTCTGAACCGTTCAAAATGATTCTGGGGCGTTCTGAATGATTCTAGGTCGTTCAAAATGTTTCTAGAAGGTTCTAAATGATTCTAGACCGTTCTAAATCATTCTGGAGCGTTCTAAAGGATTCTAAACCGTTCAAAATGATTGTAGAGTGTTCTAAATGATTCTAGACCATTCTTAATCATTCTGGAGCGTTGTAAAGGATTCTAAATCGTTCTAAATGATTCTGGAGCGTTATAAATGAATCTAGTCAGTTCAAAATGATTCTAGACCGTTCTAAATCATTTTGGAGCGTTCTAAAGGTTTCTAAACCGTTCAAAATGATTCAGGAGCGTTATAAATGAATCTAGACCGTTTAAAAGGATTCTAAACCGTTCTAAATGAGTTAGAAGCGTTATAAATGAATCTAGTCAGTTCAAAATGATTCTAGACCGTTCTAAATCATTTTGGAGCGCTCTAAAGGTTTCTAAACCGTTCAAAATGATTTAGGAGCGTTATAAATGAATCTAGTCTGTTCAAAAGGATTCTAAACCGTTCAAAATGTCGGTTCGTCAGGTAGTCAGTTCAAAATGATTCTAGACCGTTCTAAATGATTCTGGACCGTTCTAAATCATCCTAATTCTCGTTATTTTTTTCGTGCAATTTTAAAATGAAAATCATACACTATATATACGAATAACTTTTTTATATATAACATAACAAACTCCTGTGTTTCTCTTACATTTTCTCGACCGGTTTCAAACCGAGTACATCGAAACACTGCGCCATAATCGCAGCGGCCGCTTCGGCCAATAATATCCTGCCGGAATTAACTTTCACTATATCCCCGGATACTTTTTCGATGCAATAGCAACTGTCGTAGAATTCGGTGAAGGCCGTGGCGATTTCGTAGACGTACTCGCAGAGCGGATGCAGGAACAGATCCTTGGAGATTTTCAGCAGGACGTCGGGAAAACGGAGCAGCACTTTGGCCAATTTCCATTCCTTTTCGTGGTCCAAACTGATGCTGAATTGTTTGCTGATTTCGATGATTTTCTCGGGTGAAAAACCGGCGGTACGTGCTATGGATCTTATGCGAGTCAGAGCGTACAAGAGGTAGACAGCGGTGTTGCCTTTATCCTCTAGCATTTTATCGAACGAAAAAACGTATTCGTGGTTTCTGTTGTGTGAGAGATCGGCGTATTTGATGCAACCGTACGCGACCGATTCCTGAGCTTTTTTCAATTCCTCGGGCGTCAAAACCTGCGAATGATTACAATTAAAATCTCATACATATGCACTGTTGGAAAGTAATTCACGCATAATAGGAAAATCAATGTTAAATTCTTAGCCGGCTGAAATCCAGTCTACCAGTGTACATTTCAATAGAACCTCGCGTTCAATTCTAATAAATTTAATTTTTTAATTTAAAATCTAGGTGGCTCTGACAATGACATTTCTCTTACCGAAAGTCAGTTTAGTAAAAGCTTTCGAGAAATAATTAATACAATCCATCTAGTTAGTGTGCATTAAAATTGAAATGTAATTGTAACTAATGTAAAAACCAAAATTTAAAACGTCAGTGTGTATTAATTGTACTTCAAGAAGTGGCAAAAATGCATATTAAAACAGTTTACTATTTCGAACAACTTATTATAATTAAAGTTTTCGATATTGTAAAAAATAAAGGTACTTTACCCTTTTATCAAATTCATATTTTTTGACAAACGTCGGATATGATTTAAAAAATTGACATTTGACATTTGCGTTTTACTTTCTTGGCCATGCAGAACTTTTTATAAAGAATAACTATTTTTCGTAACATTACAAATAAAAAACTTTCCCATATGTTGCCAACTTTTTCAGACATATTGTATAGGGTGTCCTACGACAAGTTAAAACTATCGGTATATATGAAACTACTTATCCGATTTAAATAATATTTAGTATGTATACAGATTCCTCAATTTTTCATTGCAACATAGGCTATGGATGCAACAAAGACAACTTCACTTAGATACTTATAAAGGAAAAAGAAAGACTGACATTTCTGTCGTTGCAACTTTTCACTTTGACAACTGTTATTTTAATACTCTTTCTTTGTTCAACTCATAGAAATATCCATGTTGCAATCGCGAATGAAGCACGGTGTATGTTATGCAATAAGTCGAACCTCTTAAAAATAAAAATGCTCACTTCCTGATGTACCGGATATACCGGAAGTGGGCATTAACTTTGTTATTTTCAATGGAACACCCAGTATATTAATATATTTTAGAAATCTACGTAAAATTTTAGGGTACTTTTGTATAAAACACATTAAATCTGATAGGCAGTTTCCTATATACAGATAGTTATAACACGTCGTGGTACACCCTGTATATTAATAGAGACTTTTCTTCTTAAAATCACCCAAATATTCACATCCTGAAGTATCGGCACTCAATTAATTAACACCCTGTATACAGTGTGCTTCATTCCAGAGGTTATATCGTTATTTGCTCCATTTCCGATTGCAATGGTCATTTCTATGAGTGGAACAAAGAAAGATTAATAAAACAACAGTTGTCAGAGTGAAAAGTTGCAATGACATAAATGTCATTCTTTCCTTTTCCTTTATAAGTGTCTAATGGAAGTTGTCTTTATCGCACCCATGGCCTATACAGTGTGTGTCACGAAGAGGGCCCATTAGAAGTATCTGGAAAAGTATTTGTAATTAAAATTTGAAAATATGTGTACAAGTATTAGTCGATGCGCTCTATTTAATGAAAATATTTTCAACTTTTCTTTATTTCCGGTTATACCGGAAGTGGTCATCAACTTTGTTATTTTAAATGGGACACCCCATATATTATTATATTTTCGAAATGTACGCAAAATTTTAGAGTGCTTTTGTCTAAAAAACTTTTTTCAAAAATGCATACTTTTTGAGTTACTAATTTTTTTTTGAAAAATTTGACCGATGCAGACTTTTATAAATTATTTTTTTACGGGGATCTCTTTAAAGATATGGATACGATTTCTGCAGGGTGGCCACTAGCAAGGTCAAAGGTATTTGAATCTGTGTTAAAAACTTTTTATTTTATACAGGGTGTATACAAAACATGTGAAAAGTTGAACTTCAAAAATACCAAATTATTTAATTTTTTTAAATGGAACCACCCATTTTTTTCTATTTTATTGAAATCAGCGATAAAAAATAAGGAAAGTTCATGTATACTTCCCTATACCTAAACCTAATAGGTTTGATATTAAAAATTTTACTTAAAACTTACTTTTTTGCCTTATTCTTAAATAACTCTGTTTTACAAGTTGGCCATGTTTTATCTCACAAGTACCAAAATTAATCAATGAATTACAAACAATTTAAGGGTCTACATCGGTCAAATTTTTCAAAAATTAGTAACTCAAAAAGTATGCATTCTTGAAAAAAGTTTTTTAGACAAAAGCACTCTAAAATTTTGCGTACATTTCGAAAATATAATAATATATGGGGTGTCCCGTTTAAAATAACATAGTTGATGTCCACTTCCGGTATAACCGGAAGTAAAGAAAAGTTGAAAATATTTTCATTGAATAGAGCGCATCGACTAATATTTGTACAGAAATTTTCAAATTTTAGTTACAACTACTTTTCCAGATACTTCTAATGGGCCCTCTTCGTGACACACACTGTATAACCTATGTTGCGATCAAAAATGGAGCAACCTGTAGACATTTATAAAGGAAAAAGAAACAGTGACATTTGTGTCATTGCAACTTTTCACTCTGACAACTGTCATTTTCTTTGTTCAACTCATAGAAACGACCATGTTGCGGTCTAAATTGAAACAATCCGTATAACACAAACGAATCAATCTCATCTCGTACCTTATCCCTTTCTTTTTCTTTCAACTTATCGAGCGCCCTCCGCAGACCTTCGTCGAGCAAATCCAACAATCGAACCGTCTCCCCCGACCTGGTTTTGAATTTTTTCTTATCCTCGCCCAACACCACGCCGAAACCGACGTGATCCACCCGGTGTTTCTCCGCATCGATTATTCCCGCCTTTTTGGCGCAACTGAACAGCACTTGAAAATGAGTCGCCTGTCCGGCATCGGTGACGTAAATCACCCAATCGGATTTTTCCTCGTGCAAACGTTGCTTGATGGCGGCCATGTCGGAGGTGTCGTAGGTGAAACCGCCGTCGGTTTTAACCACGGTCAACGGAATCGATTCGAGACCACCCCACATGACTTTGCGACCATCGTCTAATTCCAGATGACCGGCATCGTCTAGTTCTTTTACGATGAGTTGCATTCGGTTTTGATAGAACGATTCGCCGCGTTCGGTGAGTTTGATGTCCAATCGGTCGTATATTTTCTGGAATTCTACAAGGAAATAAACCAAAATCAATAAAGCAAAATATGGATAGGATTCTACTTCTTCTTCTTCTTTACCACATTTTAGATGGTAACGTGTGAATCAGGAAATTATCAAAAAGCATATTTTTTTGAATGCAAGCAAAATATGGATAGGGTTAGTAAGTAATTGGGAAGGTTTTTGAATTTATTTCTCGTTTTTTTTGAGGATGTTTAAATTTTTAATTTCCTGGCGCGTACGGTGATATTCCGCTTCAAAGTGGATTTTTGCAATGCAAAAATAGTTTGTTACATTAACTTTGTTATCGATTTTATATGAGAAAATAAATTGTTGTCGCTTTGTATTAAAATTTGCTCGGTTTTATTTTATTATTTCATTCGTTTTTACCTAGGCAAGGTGAGTAAATTGAATTATTAAAAGTAAAGGATTTAATGAGTGATTATTAAAATAGTTTCGAATGAATCAATAATTACTTGAATTATAGGTACAGTTGGTGCAAAACAAATATCATCGCACGTCACATATAATTTACTAAGGTACAAGTAGGCAGTGTTGCCAAACTTTTATAAAAAAGAACAAATTGAAAATTAGGGGTATCCATATACCTATTAAGTATGGACACGGCACAATCGTTATTTTGAGGTTATTCAGCGTTCCCAATGATAGAGAGAGAGAGGTCCGTGAGAGATGGAGATAGTTTGGGCTAAAAGTAGGCGGGACCAAAAAATATATAAAATATATACAGGGTGTGTGGAAAAAGGCTATTAATCTGTTAAATTATTTATACGCTTAATATTTAAATATTGTTTTTATCTTGGTATCCACTTGGACAGAAGAATGACCTGGAAGAAACATATTTTTTACAAGAGAAAGTAGTTAGGTCTTAAATTGCGAAATCTGTACTGGCTAATAGGTAGAAGGTTCCAATTAACAATACAAAATAAGAACTGTATTTGCAAATGCGTGGGAATTTAGGCTCAGCTGAAAAATGCATTTTGCTCGGCAAAAAAATAATAAATCACAATAATAAATGTAATTGTTCGGTTAAAAAATTAAAAGTGCTTGGTTACCCCTACATATCCCACGCTCCCCCGCTAACATATCCTCCGCTATCATTTCTACAAGGTAATCAAATGGCCAACTGGATAATTAAAAAAAAAAAGAAAATTCATACCTTATTTAAGAAAACTTCGATTATTTCAAAAACTACTGGATTTGGGCGTAGGGAATACCTATATGGATCGAAAGGGCTTAAAAACTGCATTGGTCACTGTTAAAAAATACAGGGTGGTCCATTTGAAATAACAAAGTTATGACCACTTTAATTTGGCCAAGTTTGTCAGACAATTTTAAATGCCCTGTACATGGATTCTGAAAATACAGTTAAGTTTCATTTAGTAGTATGTCTGGACATCATCGATACTCAATTTCAAGCTTCTAGCTGCATTATTAACAGAGATATCACAGAAAATACATTCGAATGTTTTTCCAAAAAATATCGAAAAAATTGTAATATCTTAAAAATGGTGCATTTTTGGCATATGGTGTTATTATCAAAGTCTAGTTAAAAAAGGCCATAGAATTCAAAAATGAAGTTAAAAATGGCACTTTCCATATAAAATAACGAAGTTGGTGTTAACTTCCGGTATAACCGGAAGTTTAATCAAAATGAAAATATTTTAGATCCATTCATATTATCCAAAAAATACTATAACCAAAATTTCAGATTTTTAAGTCTTTTCATTATTGAGATACTTCTAATGGACGGTTACCGTGAAAAGCCCTGTATACCCTCCGCTGCACTCCTCAACCCTATTCCACCATAAGCTACCCTCCTCTACCCCAACTACCTTGCATTTCTGAAAACGTAACTCACGTGGTCTTTTGCTTTCTTACTATTGGCTAAGGCATTGTCCAATCTCTCATTGCCATATGCCCAAACTAGCTGCATCTCTCTCATTCATCGATAACACTACCTCTTTGTCTAAACCGCGTCCAGAGTTAATAGGTCTATGGTAATTACGCTACTGTGTTTTCGAGGGAAAGGTCCATTAGAAGTTAAAGGAGATCCTGAAGAGTTGGAAATCTGAACATTTAGGAGTAAAGGATAATGAATGTTGTGAGTTTTTCTGAAATATTTTCAACCGTATGTGACTTCCGGTTATACCGGAAGTAGATCTCAACTTTATTATTTCAAATGGAAAGTGTCATTTTTGATTTCATGTTGGATTCTGTGGCAATTTTTAACTAAACTCTGATAATAACACCATATGGCAAAAATTGGCCTCTAAGATGAACAATATTCTCATATCATCCCCATACCATCAATAATGAGAAACTAATTTAAAAGAATAAAACAACCGTTACTTGGTTCAGGAAATATCAAACAAATGGGATTTAAAGTTAGATAACACTGAAATAGGTTGATTATAAAATGGGAGTTAAATAACAACAAATGGAATCTACAATTCGTTCAATTAGTGAATTGTACTTTTAATTTTTATGTTATGACGTACCTAATTATGGTCCATTAAAGGCATCAAATAGCCATCTAGATAACTCAAGAAGGGTATTATAAAAGTATAATTAATAAAAGTTCGATTATTTCTAAAACGACTAGAGTATAGGAAATACCTATATGAATCGAAAGAGCTTAAAACTATCCATTGCTCAATGGCTAAAATTACAGGGTGATCCATTTAAAATAACAAAGTTATGGCCACTTTAAGTTAGCCAAGTTAGTCATACAATTTTAAACGCCTTGGTATATGGACCATGAAAACTCAGTTTAGTTTCTTTTAGTACTGTGTATGGACATTATCGATACCAAATTTCAAATATCTAGGTGCTTTTAACAGAGATATCATAGATATTCGACCGTTTTTTCAAAAAATTAAAAAAAATTTAATAACTCAAAAATGGCCAATTTTTGCCATATGGTGTTATTATCAAAGTTTAGTTAAAAATTGCCACAGAATCCAAACATGAAATCGAAAATGGTACTTTCCATTTAAAATAACGAAGTTGACATCTACTTCCGTTCTAAAAAATATTTTAGAAAAACTTACAACATTAATTATCCTTTACTCCTAAATTTTCAGATTTCCAACTCTTCAGGATCTCCAATCACTTCTAACGGACGGTTTCCTTGAAAAGCCCTGTATACAGGGTGTTAATTAATGTACTTATTTTAATGGGCGATTCTTGAGCTAATTTTGGGTCGAAAAGTTCATATAAAGATATGTCTTCCAAAGCTCGGTTTTTGATATACCTACAGGGTTGTATTTTTATTTTGAAAATTTAAAAAACCGTTTGCGTTATTACATTATTGAATTCTAGGAAAACATTTTATGATATAAATACGCATGCACAATATCTACGTACATAAAATGTCTTCTTCTTATTATGAATTTAGGTAAGTAGATAGTTTTTGGTTTGATGTTTTAGATGTAACAACTAGAGTTTTTTAATTATTTTCTTTAAAATGATAAGTTCTACGGCAAAAACGCAAGATACTATTTTTGTTTAAAATGAAATGATTATCAATAATTTTTAAAGAAAGTTTCCAAAAAACAGTGGCGTACTACTTTTTTGGATAAAATTGTACCAAGAACTACCCATATCTACGCCACTGGTTAAAATAAAAATAATGTTTTCTGTTTAAAAAAAGCGTATATGTAACATATATAATGTGTTATCCTAGAATTCAATGTAATATAGCAAACGGTTTTTCAGATTTATGAAGAAAACCTAAATAAAAATAAAACTTTACAACACCTGTATATCGAAAACCGAGCTTCATAGGACATACCTTTATTTGAACTTTTCGACTCAAAATTAGCCCAAGAATCACCCACTAAAATAAGTACATTGCATTAATTAACACTCTGTATACAGGGAGGCCCAAAACCGGGAAAGGCCTTATGGAACCGACAATGGAGATGCCAAAACTGCAGTCTAAAACATGAAAAAGTTATTCCTTTGGTAAATAAAGCGATTTAAAATCGACCAATCCCAGTAGGAGTTCAAATCCACGAAAATGACGTGAATTAGCTATACACCAATTTGACATTATTGAAAGATTCTATTTCCTTTTCACTTTGAAGGTTAACAATAGCTGCCAAAATCAGCTGCGACTATTGATCAAAAATTTGCTTCCAAATCGATAATTCAAGAACTCTTCATTTACCAAATGAATAACTTTTTCATGTTTTCGACTGCAGTTTTGCCATCTCCATTCCCGTCTCCATAAGACCTTTCCCGGTGGGTCGTGCAAGTTCTGGGCCACCCTGTATAATAATATTCGTTCGCTATACCTTTACGCGACGCATCGCAAATCAATTCCCAAGCCTTCTTGTGTTCGGGATCGAACGATTGCAATTTAACAACGCTGGCGTACGCCCGTTTCTTGAACTCCTCGTCCTCGTCGAATCGCTTCTTGGACTCCTTGTAAAAGGCCTGCAAATCGCCGATGGGCGGCGATCTGACTTGGTAATCGGGGAACTTGTCCTGCAGGTGAGCGATCAACATTCCGAACTGCGTACCCCAATCGCCCACGTGGTTTATCCGCAGGACATCGTGCCCCAGGAATTCCAGCAACCTGCATATGCTGTCGCCGATTATCGTAGATCTGAAATAAATTAACGAATATAGTAAAAAATCACGATGCTATATTTCTAAGGTTCTTCTTTCTAAGGTTATTTCTATGTTTCTAAGGTGCCGTTATTTGAGGATAAAACAGTGTTCCTAAAATGGCCGCTTGTAGGCGATGTTGTAAAAGATCACGGTTTATACAGGGTGTTTCACCCTGAAATCAACTTCTCTCTCTTTGAGAAATCTCAAAAAAAATGTAATAAAAGTCCTACAGAAATAAAATTATAAACCCGAGTTTCAATAAAAAATTGAAAAATAAATACTGCATTTTGCGTTCATAATTTTGCCTTAATACTTTACTGTAGCAAATGTTCCACCAAAACAATGGTTAAAACAAAAATAAAACAAGCACCCAAGCTTGCATTGCAGTAAATAGGAACAATTTTGAACATCTTGTATAAGTAATTGAACTGTTGAACTATTATTTTATTATCTCGATTTCTGTAAGACTTTTATTACATTTTTTTGGGAAATTAACTTCTCTCGTAACAGTGCATATGTGGTTAAAATTTGTCGGATAAGTTGTGAAACACCCTGTATACAGTGAGGACCAAAAGTCCGTTGCTCCCCCTTTAACTTTTGAATGGTAAGAGCTTTTGTCGCGCAATTTGGGGTGTTTATATTGGAGTAAAAATACTATTTATTGACGTAAAAATGACAGTTGAAACTTTCAAAATGACAGTTAGGCGCCATTTTGAATCTTTTTTTCTTATGGAAAGAGGGGTCAAGTGACACCTCGTTTTAAAGGTGATTTCATTCTTAAGTCAACCCCCAAATTTGAAAACATTTTGCGTATTCACGTGAAGACCAATTTAGTTTTAACCCCCGAGCATATTGATACATTAAAAAATTAACTCTGAACCTACTATAAAATGTGTCAATTAATTGTTGCTATGGTTTCATGGCTCTGACATTCATTTGTCAAATTTAAAGTTGATGAAAGTGACAATGGCTCGTCCTTTAAACGAAAAAATTGTCAATTTCATCAACTTTAAATTTGACAAATGAATGTCAGAGCCAAGAAACCATAACAACAATTAATTGACACATTTTATAGTACGTTCAGAATTAATTCTTAAATGTATCAATACGCTCGGGGGTTAAAACTAAATTGGTCTTCACGTGAATACGCGTTAATAAAATGTTTTCAAATTTGGGGGTTGACTTAAGAATGAAATTACCTTTAAAACGAGATGTCACTTGACCCCCCTTTACATAAGAAAAAAAGATTCAAAATGGCGCCTAACTGTCATTTTAAAAGTTTCAACTGTCATTTTTACGTCAATAAATAGTATTTTTACTCCAATATAAACACTCCAAATTTCGCGACAAAAGCTCTTACCATTCAAAAGTTAAAGGGGGGGCGACGGACTTTTGGTCCTCACTGTTGAATTAGCTTTAAGAAAGATTTTATTCAAACTAAAAATAGATGCAAAATATAAAAATGTATTTAAATCAGCGCTGATTTTGTTGTTAACATCATGCCTCACATATCTTCGGTTAATGTATTTCTCCATTTTCTCCTAGAAATGTCAACAAATATTTTTTGAAGTTTTGACAGCTTGAACTGTCGTGATAAATTGGTTCTTGATCATTCGCCATTGTGCGGCGCAAAAGTGAAGCTCAAAAAGCTTTCAAATAACACATTCTCTAATGCATAAGCATAGACCGTTTCGAGACCTTAGAAATATACGGCCGTGGTAAAAATACTCGAAAATTTTAGTACTACATTTACCTCAAGTGTCCAACGTGCATTTCTTTCGCTATATTCGGGGATGAAAAGTCTACTAAAACTTTCAGTTTAGCAGGAATCTCGGGCGGTTTGACTCCATGTTCGAAGATGCATGTTAGGTTTTTCAAGGCAAAGTCTTTTCTTAGAGCGATGTTGATGAAACCCGGCCCGGCTATTTCTAGTTCAGCGATTAACTCGTTAGCCGGTACATTATCTACGATTTTCTGAGCGATATCTCGGGGAGCGAGTTTCTTGCTTTGCTGCTTGTAGATGTTGGCTATAGGCAGGGCGGAATTGCACTGGTAATCTTTAAATTTTGGATTCGTAGACAGTGCGAGGACTATCGGAGGATCCTCGATATCGGGACAGGCTTTACTAATAGCGATTGTAAATAAATCAGTCAATATGTTGTTGATGCTCTGCATTCTGGTGCATGGAGTCGAGTCTTCGGAGGACGAATAATTCGATATGGCCTGGAATTTAAATTTAATCGAACTGAATTTCATAACCTTGCATCATTCGTATTGGAGGACTTACCCTGTTCAAAATCGCGAGGCGATGTTTAAGCTTGGTATTCTCGGTGAGCAATTCCTTTAATTGCGAATCGGTAACGTTTGTCGGTGAATTGTTCGCAATGCTCGACTTGAAATCGTCCAGCTGTTTTCGCAGGATGCTTATTTGTTCCAACTACGAAATTGACGTGTTAATTTGTTAGGTTTTTTTTATAGATTTGCGTTACTTACAGCTTTATCTGCTTCTAAATTGTAATTAGAAAGATCGGTTTCCATAATATTTAAAGTATTAACAAAAATAATAAGTTATATTAGCGGTAATTAATATACGGTTAACCTCGCGAATTACATAACCTCAATATTTGGTTTAGTAAATTTTGACTTTTTGACAGTTTGACAGTTTTGACATTGACAATTTCTTCTTTTTCTATATTTATTCAAGAATTTACTCATTTTTCCATTTTATTTTATTTTTATGCAATTAATTCTAATATATAATAGTTATATCACTTATATAAGTGTGGATAATTTGTATCCGTTTATATTTTTTCCACATATTTTTTGGAAAGCTGGTCTTCATCTACATAAGCATGCAATCAATTTTTACATTTTCAAAAATTTCTATGTAAAATGTATGTATTTTAAAACAGAATTGAACCACATTTTTATCCCTGTGTGTACATTTAAAATCCAATAAAAGAGTAACCACCTGTAGGTAATACCTTATTATTTAAAATAAGAATTTTCCCTGTACCTACTTATGCAAATTCTTCATATAGGTAGCATATCTAGTTCTTATTGTTCTTTTTATCTAGACACGAAATGGTAAATCAATAGCCATGTACTATTACCGTTTACATAATTCAGTCACACTTTGTACCTTAAAATGTACAGAAACACGTAGGTACAGCAATTATTTAATTTCCCTCAAGCGCAAGACAAGAAACCCCGATCGATATTCCCCCAACAAAACCACTTCCACCATTCGCGCTCGTACGAATGTTTACGAAAAAATCGCCCACGAATCCTGCAAAGTACAATAAGTGACGTGCCGAGAAAAGCAGATCGAAGAGCGAAGAGTGAAAAAAAAATCGCTCGAAAATTACGGGGCCCGCAGGCGAAACGGCCGGCAGTACGCTGTGCAAGGTCTTCCCCAGTCCGGGCATAGCCCGCAGCGTATGGGCCCTTCCGCAGACGGCCTCCTGCAACATGGTGGCCGATACGGATCACCCAGCCGCCTCCGTCAATCACGAAAAAGACGGATCGGAGGCCGACATCAACGAGACATCTCTCAGGAGCATCTTCGACTTGGTCAAAACCGGGTAAATTGAACTCGCACTAGCATATTACTCACTCTGTACTCTGTACATTATTTCATTTGCAAATCTTTAAGCAATACGCATTTAGAAGGCTCCAGTGTTATTTAGAACTGTCTATAACCATTTAGAACGCATCAGCAGAACCATTTAGAACGCTTCATAGTCATTTAGAATGCTCCAGAATCACTTACAACTCTCCAGAATAATTTAGAACTGTCTAGAACCATTTAAAACCAGCTATATTCATTTAGAACGCTCTAAAATCATTAACGTACAACTCTCCAGAATCATTTAGAAGGCTCCGGTGTTATTTAGAACTGTCTAAACCCATTTAGAACGCGTCAGCAGAACCATTTAGAACGCTTCATAGGCATTTACAACGCGCCAGAATCAGTTTGAACTGTCTAAAACCATTAAGAACGCTCTATAGTCATTTAGAACGCTCCAGAATCAGTTAGAACTGTCTAAAACCATTAAGAACGCTCTACAACTTTTGTAATGAAGTTTTCTTGATATCTTCTATAATAACAGATATATTGAGCTTTTCCATACTAATGTGCCACCCTGTATATGGCCGTTAAGAACCATTAAGAACGCTCTAGAGTCATTTAAAACGCTCCAGAATCAGTTAGAACTGTCTAAAACCATTAAGAACGCTCTACAGTCATTTAGAACAGTCCAGAATCACTTACAATTCTACAGAATCATTTAGAACCCTCCAAAATAATTTAGAACTGTTTATAATCATTTGTAACGCATCAGAAACATTTAGAACGCTCCAAAATCATTGTCTAGAACCGTCTAGAACGATTTAGAACCATTTCGAACGCCCCAGCTTTATTTAGAACTGTCTATAACCATTTAAAACGATTCAGAACTATTTAGAACTCACCATAATCATTTAGAACTGTCTAAAATCACTTAGAATGCATCAGAACCATTTAGAACGCTCCAAAATCATTGTCTAGAACGCTTCGCAGAACCATTTAGAACGCTTAATCTTCATTTAGAACTGTCCAAAGCCATTTAGAACGCTTCGAACAGTCACTGTATAGTACAGACTCATTTAGATTAGACCGATTTAGAACTGCCTAGGACCATTTGAAACGATTCAGAACAATTTAGAACGCTCCATGTCATTTAGAACGTTACAGAATCATTTAGAACTATCTGGAACTAATAATTTTGACTTAATATAAGAAGAATAATGTATAATTTTTTAACTGAAAATCGCGGTTTTTTATTTTCAAGCCTAGAACCTATTTTCACCTTACCCTTGCGTTGACAAATAATTCCTGCTGGATTTCAAAAAAATGTGTACCGAGTAGGTACCCACCTTAATTATCATCACAGAATCACCCCTTAATCCCCTTAACACCCTTTTCGGTGCTATTTAGATACACCCTATATAAATATATGTTTCTTCGTATAAATATTGCCAGATATTTACCAGCCTTGGTTCACCAACTTACCACACTTGTTGACGTGTTGTAGTCAATAATAGTTATAAAAGTTCAATAACGATAGTTATTGAAATCTAAATCATTCTAAATCATTCTAAATCATTCTAAATCATTCTAAATCATTCTAAATCATTCTAAATCATTCTAAATCATTCTAAATCATTCTAAATCATTCTAAATCATTCTAAATCATTCTAAATCATTCTAAATCATTCTAAATCATTCTAAATCATTCTAAATCATTCTAAATCATTCTAAATCATTCTAAATCATTCTAAATCATTCTAAATTATTCTAAATCATTCTAAATCATTCTAAATCATTCTAAATCATTCTAATCATTCTAAATCATTCAATTTTCGCGTTATCTATTTCAGTGAACTATCGGAAATCGCCGAGTATGTGGAGAAATCGGGCAGCGAGGTGCTGAGAGCCAGAGACGAATGGGGCTACACCCCGGCCCATTGGGTAGCCCTCGATGGCAACGTCGAAATCATGCGGTACATCGTCGATAAAGGCGCTCCCATCGATTTGCCTTGCTTGGGCACCCAAGGCCCTAGACCCATACATTGGGCCTGTCGAAAAGGTACTCGTATATCTACATACAGTGTCCCAATAGTAGTGCGGTAAAACCCATTTACTCAGTTATTATAATAGATACAAAAAAATTATAAATAGGAAAAATGTTAAGCACCTTTAGGCGCACAATTTAAAATTATTTCGAAATATACAGGGTGGCCCATAAATCGAAGACGTACCAAACATACCTTTTTTTAAAGGCAATGATATATTTTTTATTTCATATTCGATTTCAGCTCGTATTCACGAGTTTCACAATATAAGATTTCATATGACTATACTGAGTATTTAAAAAGTTATTGCCATTTTTATGTTCAAATCGACATGATTTCAAGGCCCTGTATATCAGAATCTGTATCAGATAATGTGAATTTTTCTGTGTCAGCACTTTTTGAAAATGGTCTATGGGCGAAATGACAAGAACAAATTTAGAATTAGGAATGCCTGTTTCACATTTCTAAACGGCGGACTTATTCAGGGGCTCACTATAACTGCGTATACAGTGTGTGTCACGACGAGGGCCCATTAGAAGTATCTGGAAAAGTAGTTGTAATTAAAATTTGAAAATATGTGTACAAGTATAAGTCGACGCGTTCTAATCAATGAAAATATTTTTAACTTTTCTTTACTTCCGGTTATACCGAAAATGGACATCAACTTTGTTATTTTAAATGGGACCCCCCATATATTAATATATTTTCGAAATGTACGCAAAATTTTAGAGTGCTTTTGTCTAAAAAACTTTTTTCAAAAGTACATACTTTTTGAGTTACAAATTATTTTTTTTTGGAAAATTTGACCGATGCAGACCCTTATAAATTATTTTTTTACGGGGATCCCTTTAAAGATATGGATATATACGGTTTTTGTAGGGTGACCACTAGCAAGGTCAAAGGTATTTGAGTCTGTGTTAAAAAAAAATTTATTTTATACAGGGTGTATACAAAACATGTGAAAAATTGAACTTCAAAAATACCAAATTATTTCATTTTTTTAAATGGAACAACCCATTTTTTTTCTATTTTATTGAAATCAGCGGTAAAAAATTAGGGAAGTTCATGTTTACTTCCCTATACCTAAACCTAATAGTTTTGAAGATATTGAATATCTTACATAAATCTTACTTTTCTGCCTTATTCTTAAATAACTCTGTTTTACAAGTTGGCCATGTAATATCTCACAAGTACCAAAATTAATAATCAATTAATTACAAACAATTTACATGGCCAACTTGTAAAACAGAGTTATTTAAGAATAAGACAGAAAAGCAAGATTACTACTAGGAGAACTATTGGAGAAATTTGGGGTGTTTATATTGGAGTAAAAATACTATTTATTGACGTAAAAATGACAGTTGAAACCTTTAAAATGACAGTTAAGCACCATTTTGAATCTTTTTTTCTTATGGAAAGGGGGGTCAAGTGACACCTCGTTTTAAAGGTAATTTCATTATTAAGTCAACCCCCAAATTTGAAAACATTTTAATAGCGCGTATTCACGTGAAGACTAATTTAGTTTTAACCCCCGGGCATATTAATACATTTAAGAATTAATTCTGAATGTACTATAAAATGTGGCAATTAATTGTTGCTATGGTTTCTTGGCTCTGACATTTATTTGTCAAATTTAAAGTTGATGAAAGTGACAATGGCTTTAAACGCTTCATGGCTTAATGGCTTCAAATTAAAATTTGAAAATATGTGTACAATTATTAGTCGATGCGCTCTATTCAATGAAAATATTTTTTATATAACTTTTTTTTACTTCCGGTTATACCGGTTATACCGGTTATACTTTTGTTATTTTCAATGGGACACCCCATATATTAATATATTTTCGAAATGTACGCAAAATTCAGTGCTTTTGTCTAAAAAACTTTTTTTCATGACTTTCACGTTTCAAAACTTTTTTTATGCATTTGCATACTTTTTGAGTTACTAATTTTTTTTTAAATTTGACCGATGCAGACCCTTATAAATTATTTTTTACGAGGATCCCTTTAAAGATATGGATACGGTTTCTGTAGGATGGCCACAAGCAAGGTCAAAGGTATTTGAATCTGTGTTAAAAAACTTTTTATTTTATACAGGGTGTATACAAATCATGTGAAAAGTTGAACTTCAAAAATACCAAATTATTTCATTTTTTTAAATGGAACCACCCATTTTTTTCTATTTTATTGAAATCAGCGATAAAAAATAAGGACAGTTCATGTTTATTTCCCTATACCTAAACCTAATAGTTCTCCTAGTAGTAATCTTACTTTTCTGTCTTATTCTTAAATAACTCTGTTTTACAAGTTGGCCATGTAATATCTCACAAGTACCAAAATTAATAATCAATTAATTACAAACAATTTACATGGCCAACTTGTAAAAACGGCAGAAAAGTAAGTTTTTGTCAAATAGCAATTGTCAAATTTGTTTGTTTGCATAGACCTATTAAGTATGGACGCGGCACAATCGGTATTTTGAGGTTATTCAGCGTTCCCAATGATAGAGAGATAGGCCCGTGAGAGATGGAGCTAGTTTGGGCTAAAAGTAGGCATGACCAAAAAATATATAAAATATATGCAGGGTGTGTGGAAAAAGGCGATTAATCTGTTAAATTATTTATATTTAAATATTGTTTTTATCTTGGTATCCACTTGGACAGAAGAATGACCTGGAAGAAACATATTTTTTACAAGAGAAAGCAGTTAGGTCTTACATCGCGAAATCTGTACCGGCTAATAGGTAGGATGTTCCAATTAACAATACAAAATAAGAACTGTATCTGCAAATGCGTGGGACTTTAGGCTCAGCTGAAAAATGCATTTTGCTCGGCAAAAAAATAATAAATCACAACACCCTCCGCTACACTCCTCAACCCTATTCTACCATAAGCTACCCTCCTCTACCCCAACTACCTTGCATTCATGAAAACGTAACTCACATGGTCTTTTGCTTTCTTACTATTGGCTAATGCATTGTCCAATCTCTCATTGCCATATGCCCAAACTAGCTGCATCTCTCTCATTCATCGACAACACTACCTCTTTGTCTAAACCGCGTCCATACCTAATAGATCTATGAACTGTACCTATTTTCTACCTATAAGAATTCACTAAAATTTCCATCATCAGGCCACACGGCCATAGTTCAAGTCCTTCTACAAGCCGGCGTGGCGGTGAACGCGGCCGATTTCAAGGGGCTCACCCCCCTGATGACGGCCTGCATGTTCGGCAGAACGGCCACGGCGGCCTTCCTGCTCGGCATGGGCGCCTCCAACGATCTGATGGACATCAACGGGGACACGGCCCTCCATTGGGCCGCTTACAAAGGCCACGCGGACCTCATCAGGCTCCTCATGTACTCGGGCAGCAACTTGCAGAAGCCCGATCACTTCGGATCCACTCCATTGCATCTGGCTTGTCTCTCGGGGAATTTGATTTGCGTCAAATTGCTCTGCGAAAAGGTGGGTAGAGTTCGTACGTTTTGAAATGACAATGGCGTCGCTGACCGGCCTGTTGCAACGTTGCCGGATTGCAATTGAATTCTTTTATATGGCAGATATAAAAAAAATATAAAAATTCAGGAATAGTAGAATTTAAAGAACATCGGAGGGATAGAAAACGGACGAAAAACACAATAACTAGGAACGCTCGAGAATCATTTAGAACTGTCTAGAATGATTTAGAACGCTCCAAAATAATTTAGAACGCTCCAGAATTATTTAAAACGCTTCAGAAACATTTAGAAATATTTGGAACCATTTAGAAAGCTCCAAAATTATTTAGAACTGTCTAGAATAGTTTAGAACAGTCTAGAATCATTTAGAACGGTCCAGAAACATTTAGAAATGTCTAGAACCATTTAGAACGCTCCAGAATCATTTAGAAATATCTAGAATCATTTAGAACGCTCCAGAATCATTTAGAACGCTCCAGAATCATTTAGAACGCTCCAAATCATTTAGAAATGTCTAGAATCATTTAGAAGGCTCCAGAATCATTTAGTACAGTCCAGAATCATTTAGTACAGTCTAGAATCATTTAGAACGCTCCATAATTATTTAGAAATGTGTAGAATCATTTAGAACGCTCCAGAATCATTTAGAACTGTCTAGAATCATTTCGAACTCTCTAGAATCATTTAGAACGCTACAGAATCATTTAAAACGCTCCAAATCATTTAGAAATGTCTAGAATCATTTAGGAAGCTCCAGAATCATTTAGAAATGTCTAGAATCATTTAGAACGCTCCAGAATCATTTAGTACAGTCTAGAATCATTTAGAACGCTCCAGAATCATTTCAAATTGTCTAGAATCTTCTATAACGCTCCATAAAAATGTAATACTGTCTATAACATCTATAATTTGGAACTGTCTATATAGAATCATTTGCAACGCTTCAGAATCATTTAAAATTGTCTAGAATCTTCTAGAACGTTCCAGAATCATTTAAAACTGTCTGAAACCTAGAACGCTCCAGAATCATCTCTAGAACTGTCCAAGACCATTTAGAACGCTCCAGAAACGTTTAGAACTGTCTAGAACCTTTGGATCGCTCCAGAATCATTTAGATTGCTTCAGAAAAAGACAAAAATCAGCGGTTTTTGAGTTTACCGATTTGGCAACAACGCATCGGCAACAATGACGTCATTGTCATTGTAAAACGTACGAACTTTACTAAAAATAAGCTACCATATGAGCCTATAACTCTATCGAATGAACCCGCTAATTAATTATTTTTAGAGTAACGTCGATTTGGAACCGTTGGATAAGAACGATAAAACCCCGCTGATGTTGGCTCAAAGCCACAGACACAACGACATAGTGGAATTGTTGCAAACGGAAAAGAAACGCAGGTCCAGCTGGTTTCCACCATTGAACGAGGTGTGGGGTTTGTTGTTCGGCAAGGCGGGAAATTCCAAAGCGCCTTTGATATTCTTCATGAGCTCCGTTCTACTGTGGGGTTATCCCATGTACGTGATAAGGGTAAGTTAATTACGCAATTACGAGGGTATAGGGTAAAAAGTTCTCGGCCTGAATCAGAACTGTCTAAAATTATTTAGAACGCTCTCCATAGTCATTTAACGCTCCAGAATCATTTCAAACAGTCTAAAACCATTTAAAACGGTCCAGAATCATTAGGAACTGTCTAAAACCATTTGAAACGATTCAGAATCATTTCGAACTGTCTAAAACCGTTTAAAACGATTCAGAACCATTTAGAACTGTCTAAAACCATTTAGACTGCTCCATAGTCATTTAGAGCGCTCTAGAATCATTTCAAACAGTCTAAAACCATTTAAAACGCTCCAGAATCATTAAGAACTGTCTAAAACCATTTGAAACGATTCAGAATCATTTCGAACTGTCTAAAACCGTTTAAAACGATTCAGAACCATTTAGAACTGTCTAAAACCATTTAGACTGCTCCATAGTCATTTAGAGTGCTCTAGAATCATTTCTAACGCTCCAGTCTCATTTAGAATGCTTCAGAATCATTTAGAACTGTCTAAAACCATTTAAAACGATTAAGAACCCTTTAGACCGCCCCATTTGTCATTAGGACGCTTCAAAATCATTAAGAACTGTCTATAATCATTTAGAAAGCTCCAGAATCGTTTAGAACTGTCTAAAACCATTTAGAACGCTCTCCATATTTATTTAACGCTCCAGAATCATTTCAAACAGTCTAAGACCATTTAAAACGCTCAAGAATCATTAAGAACTGTCTAAAACCATTTGAAACGATTTAGAATTATTTTGAACTGTCTAAAACCGTTTAAAACGATTCAGAACCATTTAGAACTGTCTAAAACCATTTAGACTGTTCCATAGTCATTTAGAGCGCTCTAGAATCATTTCTAACGCTCCAGTCTCATTTAGAATGCTTCAGAATCATTTAGAACTGTCTAAAACCATTTAAAACGATTAAGAATCATTTAGAATTGTCTAAAACCATTTAGACTGCTCCATAGTCATTTAGAGCGCTCTAGAATCATTTCTAACGCTCCAGTCTCATTTAGAATGCTTCAGAATCATTTAGAACTGTCTAAAACCATTTAAAACGATTCAGAACCATTTAGAACTGTCTAAAACCATTTAGACTGCTCCATAGTCATTTAGAGCGCTCTAGAATCATTTCTAACGCTCCAGTCTCATTTAGAATGCTTCAGAATCATTTAGAACTGTCTAAAACCATTTAAAACGATTGAGAACCCTTTAGACCGCCCCATTTGTCATTAGGACGCTTCAGAATCATTAAGAACTGTCTATAATCATTTAGAAAGCTCCAGAATCGTTTAGAACTGTCTAAAACCATTTAGAACGCTCTCCATATTCATTTAGAACGCTCCAAAATCATTTGGAACCTTTCATAGTCATCTTAAACACTCCAAAAACATTTAGAATTGTTTAGGACCATTTAGACCCCTCCAGAATCATTTAGAACTGTCTAAAACCATTTAAAACAGTTCAGAACCATTTACAACGCTATATTTGTCATTTAGAACGCTCAAGAATCATTTAAAACGATTCCGAACCATTTATAACGCTTCATTTGTCATTTATTAGAACGCTCCAAGAATCATTTAGAACTGTCTAGAAGCATTTAAAACGATTCAGAATCATTTAAAACTCTCCATTTGTCATTTAGAACGTTCCAGATCCATTTAGAACTGTCTCGAACTAAAGATTTTGATTTAATAAGAAGAATAATGTATATTTTGAACTGAAAATCGCGGTCTTTCATTGTCAGACCGAGAACTTTTGATCTTACCCTTGTACCAAGTAGTTTTTGTTAATGTTGTCTTCATTAATATGTTGCAGTGTATTCCTATAACATGGAACATTCTACGGGGTTCTCATTACTGCTTTATCTATTGGAATGTAGTGATGTGGATTTGTTGGATAGTGGCTAATAGAAAAAATCCCGGTTACATTCCCATGAATTCGGAGTCGTATCATCGATCCATAAAGCACATACCGATGTTCGATAAATGGAAGAAACGGAATGCCATATTGAACAGGCTTTGTCACACTTGTAGGTGAGTAGAGATGAGTAGAGATGAGTAGAGCTTGGAAAATATGCATGCAAATGTACAGGGTGGCCAATTAAGATTGCGAGGTACTGTATCTGGGAAACTATGCATCGTAGAGGATTGCGGTAAAAAATGTTATTACTAAAATGGGCAAGTGAAAAACCTGGAAAATATTTTCAAGTTTCTCAAATGGCCGCTAGGAGGTGTAACTGCAATATTGAAACTAAAAAAGGGTTATTTCTATGAATTCCGCTATATTAACCTAACAAAAAAATTCCAGATATTTAAAGTCGAGTATAATATGAACCTTTTTTGCTTAACAATTTTTGCTGTATCTCTAAAAATAAAGTAGTGAGTGTTTTTCAAATGTTTCCCTAAAAAACACCCTGTATCTTCGAAACGGCTGAGCCGATTTGAATAAACTTAGGCTAGTTGAAAAGAGCTATTCTTGGGCTACAAAAGTTATATTATTTAAAATTTTGTTAGATTCACGTGTCGTTAGTAGAGCGCTTTTTTTGACATTCCGAGAGAAATGGTTAATTTTCTCAAAAAAATTAAATGCCTTGGTATGATTTTTTTCCATTCTTAATTAGCTAAATGATGAAAACAATAAAAACCTTCTAAAACCTTTGACCGATGTAGGCCCTTTCGAATTATTTTTTACGAGGATCCCTTTAAAGATAAAGAAATGGTTTCTAATGGTGGTTTTCCTCGGTCGCAGGCCGAGAGTTTGTAAACTTCAAAGGCCCGTCCTAGGCCGTCCTATCGTCATTTGTTGTCCATCTGTGATTCCAAGCATTCGGGTCGATTCTGTTTGTAAATAAGTGTAAATGTCCTATTCTGTTCGTGTAATTTTAACAATATGATCTGTCATTAGTAAAGATATCTTCGGGTCGATTCCGTTTGTAAATAGCAATATGGTTATTGGTTATTATCATAGACCTATTAACTATGGACGCGGTTTAGACAAAGAGGTAGTGTTGTCGATGAATGAGAGAGATGCAGCTAGTTTGGGCATATGGCAATGAGAGATTGGACAATGCATTAGCCAATAGTATAAGAAAGCAAAAGAACACGTGAGTTACGTTTTCAGATATGCAAGGTAGCTGGGGTAGAGGAGGGCAGCTTCTGGTAGAATAGGGTTGAGAAGTGCAGCGGAGGGTATTGTGATTTATTATTTTTTTGCCGAGCAAAATGCATTTTTCAGCTGAGCCTAAATTCCCACGCATTTGCAAATACAGTTCTTATTTTGAATTGTTAATTGGAACATCCTACCTATTAGCCAGTACAGATTTCGCAATTTAAGACCTAACTGCTTTCTCTTGTAAAAAATATGCTTCTTCCAGGTCATTCTTCTGTCCAAGTGAATACCAAGATAAAAACAATATTTAAATATTAAGGGTATAAATAATTTAACAGATTATTAGCCGTTTTTCACGCACCTTATGTAAAGATATTGTTATGTTAGCAATGTCCTAAGAAATAACCTATTCTGTTCATGTAATTTAAACAATATGATCTGTCATTGGTAAAGATATCTTGTTATAAACATTGCTATTTGAACAATGTCATTTTTGTACTTGGTATTTGATAATTTGAAAATTGAAAATTCGAAAATTTTTGGCAATATTGTTATAACTTAAACATATTACAAAATGGTTATCATAGCAAGATTCACAACAAGATCCAAACAAAATCGACCTGAATGTTTGCGTCATACTTACCTAAATGGTAATACCAAAATGAGTAACTGAAGGCTTGTAAAATGAATATTAAATTTCTACCATTCGGGAAATTTGAAAATATGTTTGGATTTAAGGTTCTGGTGCTATTTGCACCATTGTTTCGTGAGGTTCTGTTGAAAATTCTTCGAAATTTCGTGTTTTAATTTTAATTTTAGAGCCAATTTTTGTATTTAGAATTGTGCTAAAAGTATGGAGTGGAGCAACGAGTTAATTGTTGAGTTATTAAATTTATTAGAAAGCGAATCAAGTGTATGGGATTCGAAAAACCCACACCATAAAAATAGGAATTCACGATGCGTGGATTAGAATTCAAACTAATTTAAAGAATGGCATCATTCAATTAAAAGATATTAAGAAAAAAAAATAAAACCTTTTTAGTTTATTATATAATAAATAAAATAGAGGAATAAAATTGAGGAGCCGAGTAAAAGCGTCAATGTATAGGAAGTGTGATTTCAAATTTTTTGGACGGTATATACAGGGTGTCTCATAAGTTGATACTTTTTTTTAACTGTGTATCTTTTAATTCTAAGCAACTTTTTCAAGTACAATTTTTTAATATTCTGGAAAATAAGAGAGCATGTTTTTTTTTAATTTTTAATTAATAAAAAGTTAGTTAATACGGTCCTGTTCATTAAAAGTTAAAGGAACTGCTCAAAATTGTCGCCATTTTGATTGGAAACGGTTTGGAAGCACTCTCCATGAATAATCAGCATGTTCACTAATTCATTATTTCAATAAAGATGAGCCATTTTCAATCCAGCAATCGAAAAATTAATTTTTTATCATAAATTATTTATTTATTTTTGACACCTAGCTGTATGGTAATGGCAGGTACGTATTGGAAAATATTCGAAATTTAAAGAAATTTTAAAAATTTCTATCTTTTTTATTTTCCAGAATATTAAAAAAATTTACTTGAAATAGTTGCTTAAAATTAAAAGCTCTATACCCAAAAAAGTATCAACTTATGAGACACCCTGTATGAGCCCATGAAAACAAAAAAATCTACCGTAAGTAACTTTTTATTTTTTTATATTATATTATATTATGTTTAAATGCCTATAAGGATTATTAATAATTATTTTGCCACGGAACAGCACCATTTGTTGCAAAATATTGGGCAAAAATTATCCCTTACTACTTTGGCAGAAGTAGGTGTTTTCCTTGGTACATTTTTAATTGGTTTCAATGAAGTAAGTCCATCTTGATCGTTACGCCATGATCCTGATTGGACAATGGCATCTCCTTTATCATTTTCTTTTCGGGAGACATCCTGCAGAAATTTTCAGACTTCTTGCTTGGTTCCTTAGTACAGTCAATGGACATGTCCGATGCACAATATCTGAAATTTGAAATATCCTCTTTATTTCAGAACTAAATTATAAAAAATGTACTTAGTGAATAAAACTTTACCTTAATCGACTTTTATTTAAAGACGACATCCTCCGACGCCTTCTGTTCTTTTTCTTATTCATGTTTTGTAAATAAAAACCACTTAACAAAATATAAGCTGCGGCAACAACTGCCAGTCTTTGCTCTTCAGACAACATTTTAATACTAAACAAAATTTTTTGAACTTCCCACGGCCCGTGCTAGGACCGGTGGTAGGAAGAAGGGGTGGTTACCAGCAAGGTCAAAAGTATTTAAACATGTGTTGAAAAGTTTTTTATTTAATACAGGGTGTGTATAAAAATTGTTCAAATTTGAACTTCAAAAATCCTGTATACAATAAACATTTTTTCAACGCAGGTTCAAATACCTTTAACCTTTCTAGTAGCCACCCTACAGAAACCGTTTCCATATTTTTAAAGACATCCTTGTAAAAAAGAATTTATAAGGGTCTGCATCGCCCAAATATTAAAAAAAATTAATAACTCAAAAAATATGTATGTTTGGAAAAAGTAATTAAAATAAAAGTACCCTAAAATTTTGCGTACATTTCGAAAATATATTAATATACAGGGTGTTCCATTTAAAATAACAAAGCTAACTGTCAAAATATTTTTAAAAGGTTTGGCTTATTTTAATAGTTTAAGCTCGTCGTGACACACCCTGTATATGCGTTTATGCTCGATGAAAAAATCAGAAACAACCAGATATTAAATAATTTTAAAAGATAAGACTAGTACACAAATTATGCCGACTATCAGACTATATTACTTATTAGAACATTAGAAGACAATCATTTAGAACTGTCTTCTAAAACCATTCAGAACGCTCTAGAAATATTTAGAATAGTCTAGAACCATTTAGAACGCTCCAGAATCATTTAAAATATTGTCCAGAAACATTTAGAACTGTCTAAAACCATTCAGAACGATCTAGAAACGTTTAGAATAGTCTAAAACCATTTATAATAATGGTCCAGAAACGTGTAGAACTATCTAAGACCATTTAGAACGCTTTAAAATCATTTAGAACTGTCTAGAACTATTTATAATGCTCCAGGAACATCTAGAACTTTCTAAAACCATTTAGAACGCTCCAGAACCATTTAGACTACTGCAGCAACATTTATAATTTTCTACTACAAATATTTAGAACGATCCAGAATCGCTGATTTATACCTTTCTAGAACCATTTAGATTGCTTTAGAAATATTTCCAATTAACTGAAATCATTTAGAATGCTCCAGAATCATTTAGAACTGTCTAGAATCATTTAATATCGTCTAGAACAATTAAGAACGCTAGAGAATCATTCAGAACTGTTTAGAACCATTTAGAATGCTCCGAAACCTATATTTAATAGTTCGCAAGTAATTGTTAACGTTTTCATTTTATTATTATTTCTTTATTAAGTTTAATATATTTTTATTATTTATCGGCGAAATATATTAGGTTTGTTCCTACAAAAAGTCACTGATTTGTTACCAATAAGTTTCTGACTCTTCTATTTCGCATGCGCGGTTTATGATTAGGACCAACTTATCTCAGCCAATCAGCGTCGCGCTACATATAAATCCCGGTTGTCAGACGACAGTTCAACCTGTCAAAACTTTAAAAATTATTTTTTGACATTTCGAGGACAAAATGGAGAAATACATTAACCGAAGATACGTGAGGCATGATGTTTACAACAAAATCATCGCTGATTTAAGTATATTTTTATATTTTGTATCTATTTTTAGTTTGAATATAACCTTTCTTAATGCTAATTCTACATAATTCGTACGCAAAAAACCGGGGTCCTTTACAACATCGCCTCCTAGCGGCCGTTTTAGGAACCCTATTTTATCCTCAAATAACCGGACACTTTTTCGACCTATGGTTCCAGACCTTAGAAATATAGGACCGTGCAACAAACCTATTAATATGCAAATCTTTACTTTACATAACTTGCACTTGGAAGTTTTGGAAGATATATGCATATGTTTGTAATTCACTTTTCATGCATTTTGCATTTCTGGAGCGATGAATGTAACTTGTATGACCACACATAAAATTTGTATCATTCCAGGTGCTTGAGGCCTTTGAGAGCGAAACATTGCAGGATATGCAACAGATGCGTGTCCTATTTCGACCACCATTGCCCGTTCATATACAATTGCGTGGGCTTGAGGAACAGGACCTGGTTCTTCCTGTTCGTCATGAGCATAGCCGTCAATTGCTCGTTCACCATTTACTTCGCAATGTATTGCATAGCCTTAGAAGGATTCGGTCTACTCTACATCTTGGGACTATTAGAAGCCTTTATTTTCTCCGGATTGGGATGGATCCTCACCTGCACTTCGGTAAATCGATTTATGATGTATAGCCTACGCGCTTTCCCGATTTGGGTCCTTGGTACTTTTTCATTTAGGGAGCTCTAAAAACAAATTTATAATATTGAACAAACGTGGAAGGTAAAGTTCGTATGTTTTAAAATGACAATGACGTCACGAGCCGACCTGTTGCAACGTTGCCGGGTTTTAATTGAAATCCCTCATATGTTTAATTTAGGTTTATGTTTACTTTCGATGTTTAAAAATTAAAAAGACAATTGAAAAAAAAAACAGGACAAAGGCAAAAATCGCTCTATAAAATCTCTATAAAATCATTTAGAATGCTCCAGAATCAGTTAGAACTGTCTAGAATGATTTAGAACCCTCCAGAATCATTTAGAACTCTTTATACAGATTTAAAACCTTTTATGACTAAAATAGTTCAGGACAATTTAAAATGATTTCCGGACGATTCAGAACTTTTTACGACAAAAGCATAAAGCGCTCGGAATCATTCAGAACGCTCCAGAATTATTTAGAACTGTCTACGATCATTTAGAACGCTCCAGAATTATTTAGAACTGTCTACAATCATTTAGAACGCTCCAGAATTATTTAGAACTGTCTACGATCATTTAGAACGCTCCAGAATTATTTAGAACTGTCTACAATCATTTAGAACGCTCCAGAATAATTTAAGACTGTCTAGAATGATTTAGAACGCTCCAGAATTATTTAGAACTGTCTACGATCATTTAGAACGCTCCAGAATTATTTAGAACTGTCTACAATCATTTAGAACTGTCTAGAATCATTTAAAATGCTTTAGAATTATTTAGGACTCTCCAAAATCTTTTAAAACACTCCAGAATCATTTAGAACTACCTAGAATTATTTAGAATGTTCTAGACCCATTTAGAAGGCCAGAATCGTTTAGAAATGTCTATAACCATTTAGAACTGTCTTCAATCATTTAGACTGCTCCAAAATCATTTGGAACTGTCTAAAATAATTTAAAACACTCCAGAATCATTTAGAACTATCTAGAATCATTTAGAACGTTTTAGAACCATTTAGAACGGGCCAGAATCTTTTACAACTATGTATAACTATTTAGAAAATTCCACAATCATTTAGAACTGTCTAAAATCATTAAGAACGCTCCAGAAATCCCTGGAAAATTTACAAAAACAACAAGTTGTAGTCAAAATGTGTCAACTACAAAGAGCGGAATTTTACGAACGATATGGCAACAACGTATCTACAATTCAACTTAAATTCGTAAAATTCTCCTAGTCAAACGTCAGAATTAAAATTGAGACTAGGGAAATTTTGAACTGCGTCGAAATTACTAAAAATTACGTCATTGTCATTTTAAAACGTATGAACTTTAATACTAGCATAAAATGTACAAATTTTAATGAGTTTGAGGTCACATTGAGTAGGTAGGTATACTTGTTCTAATAATTCTCAATTGTGAGCGTTAAAAAAAATATATTTTTCTTAAAAACCATTGAAAATACATTCATGTCCTTGTTACAAAAACTTTTAGAGCTCCATCTTCATTCACAAAAAAAAATTAAAAATATTTACAGTTCAGTTTCAAATCGATATAAAGTGAGTCATCCGTCAATGTTATGAAAAATGGAGCAGGAGTCATGTCAAATTCAAATATCAGCGACGTGGTATGAATATTAAATATACTCATAAATAGCATTAAATTCAAATAAAATGAATTTATTTAATTTTTTCAAATAATATTGAATTGTCCTCTAAAAAGAGCTTATAATTTTCTTGTTCAAATAGCAATTTCAGTATTTCTATTCTATAAGCAAATCGGTGGCCCTGTAAAGGGCCATTTAAAAAAGTAAGGTCGATTAACCTGTGAATTACGAGTAGTCGGTATTCTCATCTAGCGAATTATCAAAATCTGAATCTTGACTTTCAGATTCATTGAGATTAATTACAACAGGTTCTAAAGTATAGTCTTAATTGTACCATCGAAATTCCACATCTTTTCTTCCACTTTTATTTGAATTTAATGCTTTTTATATAGTGAATTTCTTTAATGTCCCCCCCTTTTATTTTTTGAACGGATCAACCTAGAAAATTGAAATTTGGGATAATGAAACTAATGCATGATTACTATATTTTGGAGTAAAATTGATAGATGAAAATTTCAAGATGGCGACTGGGCGCCATCTTGGGAAATAAATTTAAATGAAAAGGGGGTTCTTGTGATACATCATTTTGAAGCTCCTAACAAATACTCTACAACCCTGTAATATAAAGTCAATATCTGCACCTGCTACAAAATGGCGGACATTTAGTAATTACCTGAATACATCGACGTTTAACGTCATAATTTGAGGATATAAGCTGAGTTAAGTTCAAAAAATGCTCGAAATGGTTACCTTGAACTTCTTGATATAAGAACAGCCTATCCGAACATTTTCGAACATAGTAACGTCGATATTTTTACAAATATCTGTAATTATTTCTCGTATAACCAACATTGAAGCAGGTTCAGTTTCGTACACTTTTTGCTTCAAATAGCCCAATAAAAAAAGTCTAAAGGTGTCAAATCTGGCGAGCAGGCTGGTCATTGCGTAGGACCTCGACGACCAATCCAACGATCAGGGAAAATAACATCCAAATAGTTCATTACTTGTCTGGAGTAATGTGGTGGTGCTCCATCTTCCAATGGACGAGAATTGGCCATTTTAAAGTTAGTTCACGTCGTACCAAACTACAATAAAAACTAAACAACCGAAAACTAAATGAAAATACTTTGAACACTAGGAAAATCGAAAACTAAAGAGATCATTTTGAACACTATGAAAACCAAAAACTAAATGAGAATATTTGAAAAAATTAAATAAATTCATTTTATATTTACTATTTTCGAGTATATTTAATATTTATACCTCGCCGCTGATATTTGAATTTGACATGACCCCTGCACCATTTTCATAACATTGACGCATGAGTCACTTTATATCCATTTGAAACTGAGCTTGTAGTTGAAAAAAGTCGATAACAGTTTCAACTCGTACGTTATTGCTAGTATACTTTTTTATCACTTCCTGTAATCACAAAACTTACCACAAAACTTATTGTTGAAGATCCTGCACGCCTGCATGAATCTCACCACCAACGAAATGTTCAACTACAAGCGGTACCCCTATTTGAGGGACAAACGCGGCCGGTACTTGAACCCCTTCTCCAGGGGGCCCATATTGAATCTCATCGAATTCTTTTTCTGCACGCCCGAGGATTACGACGACGATTTCGGCTACGATTACATCTGATACAGGATGAGCTGCAGCCGCGAGAAGACCGCTTCATGATAGAGCTTCTTCTACTTCTTCTTCTTCTTCATCATCGTCATCTTGTTCTAGCTTTGTAAGTGCCCTGGAAACCACATTTTAGATGGTATCGTGTGAATCAGGAAATTATCAAAAAGCATATTTTTTTGAATGCAAGCAAAATATGGATAGGGTTAGTAAGTAATTGGGAAGGTTTTTGAATTTATTTCTCGTTTTTTTTTGAGGATGTTTAAATTTTTAATTTCCTGGCACGTACGGTGATATTCCGCTTCGAAGTGGATTTTTGCAATGCAAAAATAGTTTGTTACATTAACTTTGTTGTCGATTTTATATGAGAAAATAAATTGTTGTCGCTTTGTATTAAAATTTGCTCGGTTTTATTTTATTATTTCATTCGTTTTTACCTAGGCAAGGTGAGTAAATTGAATTATTAAATGAATTATTAAAAGTAAAGGATTTAATGAGTGACTATTAAAATAGTTCGAATGAATCAATAATTACTTGAATTATAGGTACAGTTGGTGCAAAACAAATATCAATGCACGTCACCTATAATTTACTAAGACACAAGTAGGCAGTGTTGCCGAACTTTTATAGATTTTATAAAAATCTAAAAATTTTCTAAAATTGTCAAATGGCAAAATGACAAGAACAAATTGAAAATTAGGGGTACCTGTTTCACCTTTGAAATATATTTAAGAGTGGAAGTAGAAAATTTAAGTACAATTAGAAAGAAGTGTACAATTGACCCTTAAAAGAGTACATAGTGAAATTTCTGAGAAATCTTTTGAATCTGAATTGCCTATTCTGAAATATATTTAAAAAATAAAAAAGAGTAAGTAGTGAAATATTTGAGAAAACTTCTGAATCTGAATTATTTATAGAGCTCAAATTGTGTAATTTCTAACATGTGGAAATCTAACATGTTTCTAACATTTTCTATCATCCCTTGTTAATATTAAATTAAATTCTGCAGGTATTAAGCTTAATCTATTTTGTGTTTTTATTTTTAAAAGTTGGTCACAATGCTTGGCAAATATGACGTCAGTAGTGACGTGCATTGATATTTGTTTTGCACAAACTGTATAGATATTATCTACGTTATAAATTATGTAAAAATATATTTTATTTTTTATATATACTATAGTTTCTTCAATTTACAGAATAATATAATTAATAATTTACGCGATTTTTCTACCTACAATAAACTAAATATAAATAATGTTCACGATAATCTTGCGATGATGTTAATACGTTTTTCACTAATCAAAACCGTCTGTCTTCTAATTTTGATTCTAATTAAAGTGCGAGAAGAAATTAAAGATGTGGCAACGTAGCGTTTCGACAGCGTCGCCAGATCACCGTCTATTTACTACAAAACTCGCACTTTTTACTCGAGAGGTTTCTTGACGATCACCACAAATATTCAAAGTGCAAGATGTGGCAACGTAGCGTTTCGACAGCGTCGCCAGATCACCGTGAAATCATTACAAAATTCGTACTTTTTACTCAGGTTTCTTGGCGATCACCACGAATATTTTGTGGATTTCCCGAATCGATTTGTCGCTATTATTGTTCACATTTTCGACCACGACGCTCTTGATGCTGCTCAACTCCGCCATGAAGTCCTCCTGGTACTCTTCCACATCGTCCGGGTGCAATTTCTGCACGATGGGATTCACCGCTGTTATGGTATCTAAAAAAATTACAAATAAGCAAGTTTTATTAGGTTTGTTCCTAGTCAACAGTCAGAAATAGCCGGTGGTCGTCTGGAGTCTGCGCAGTAATAATTTAGGCGTTCCAACAAACTCCACAGACATCTCTGATTCTGACTTGGTTAACAATTTATTGTTCCAACAGTTCAAGGGACTGGTTTTGTGATAGTCAGAAAAATTTGCTGATAGTACAGAGATTTAGAATCCGGCGCAAGCGCATTTTTAATTCGGGTTTAATTTGTATTTCTGAATACAAGGTGTTTCATTGGGAAAGGGCAAATTTTAACCCTGTATAGAGGTCACCCAGGGGATGACAAAAAACCCATATACTATGGGTCTTGCGCCCTTTATAACCGAGTTACAGGGTGTTTTTTTGAATTTGGCCGATTTCTTTCGACACCTATAACTTTTGAATCACTCAGTGTATTTTTTTGATATTTGGCATATTTGGCATTCTATACCTTTAGGACTATTTATTGCCACATTAAAAAATTACAAAATCCAGGTCCGGATTTAGAAAAATTAATGAAAGTTGACCGACCCTAAAACAACACTCTATACATCATATTTTTAAAAAAATTATTTCAAATTCAGAAAGAGCACAAAAAACTGAATGTATTCATCAACTTTTTATTTTCCCGCTTGCCGTTTTTCTACCAAAATTTAATCGTTAAAATGTACATTATGAGATTTTTGGTCCATGTAAATTGTAATTAAAGGGATTTTAATTATTTTTTCTTTAATAAAACCAGATTTACTTAACACTTTCATGAAAATTCTTGAAATAGACCTATTGAACTTGAATTAACATTCACATAAACCAATAAAAATTACAATTACAGATCCGCACTTAATAAAATTAAAATGATTTCAATTTATTTAATAATTAATCATTCATTAATCAATGTTTACATTTCTACGTGAGAAAATTCAAAACTTAACTATGTAATTTATTAGCTTCTTTACAAAAGATACTAAAAGTACTCTTTTCAACACCACCAAGAGATAGAACAAATTTACCTAGTAAGCACTTTTAAAAAATTTAAAAAACAATCCCAATGTTCTTAGAAGATTTATTTGCAACTTGATTAGGAGAGCTAGATTATGTATCAAACAAAATGGAGAACATTTTGAGCAATTGTTAAAATGACTTTTTTTCTGGTGTTTTTTGTTGTTAGTTTGTTAGTTATCATTTTGTTATTTACATATAGGTTAATTATTAGGTTATGTTGTTTGTTGTTTTTGTTTGATACTTGATGAATATGTAATAAATGTAAAGACTGTTCCATCAAGAAATCGGAAATTTCATGACATTATTCAATCATAAACCGCGCATGCGAAATAGAAGAGTCAGAAACTTATTGGTAACAAATCAGTGACTTTTTGTAGGAACAAACCTATTTGTTATTAGTAAGGAAATTTGGACTTACTTCTGAAGACGTCCAATGTGGGAAAATGGAACGACCTGGTGACTAATTTGCAGACTTTCACATCGAAACCGACGTTGTTGAGGAGCTTCTGCAGATGCTTTTCCGGCTGTTTCAAGCCGTGATAGGGCGATATGTATTCTTTCACGGAGTATTGACTCCATTTTTTCCGTTTCGACATGTTCTGATAGATGTCATAAAGCGATGATTTGGCCAGAAACGTGAACAAAATGTCTCCTCCAGGCTTCAACATTTTGAATACGTTCTTGAACGCTTTCCTAAAAACACCAATAAAAAAAATCGGAAAATTACATTGCACTTATAATAAACATACCTCTGTCTTCTGACCCAATGCATCGTATAGAAGGAAAACACGTGGTGGAAAGCGTTTCGGAACTCATCGGGTACATCATCGGCGCTCACGTCGAATTCGACGAATTCGAATTTAGGCAGGGGGTACTTATCCCTGGCGAAGTCGAGCATTTTTTCGGACACATCGCAGGCGATTAATCGCTCGAAATTGTCGGGCAATCTGGGCGCCAAACCCTCCACCGAGAAGGTACCGTCCCCGCAGCCGATGTCGCAGATGCTCTCCCCATCGCCCCATCCGCCGGTCTCCAGGTAATTGTCCAGCACGAACGAATTGTCCGTTTTCTGCAAATCGCTGAACTTCGCGTACAACTGGGGCCGGTTCATTTTCTGTTCTCGACGATTCCGGGTGAGTTTTTTTCGGGTGTTTTTACGCCCCAAGTTGGGCCGGCGAGTCGACTAAGGCGTGCTTAAGTAGGTGGCGTTTATATAGGTTTCGGTGAGAGGGGCGGACGAGATTTTTCGGATATGCAGCGCTCCTCAAACGTGTGCGCTCTTCCCCACTAGCTAAACTCCGGGTTAATCCGGTCGCTTTTTTTTTTATTTTTTTTTATTCTCTCGTGTCGCAATCGAAATTTGGACACTGGACGGTTTATTATGCATTCGAGCCGGTGTAGAAAGTTTATTATTCGATGGGTTTTGTTAGAAGATCGGTAGTTGATATGTTGCATACTAATTCCGGGGGAATCTATTTACTTTTTAATTAGTAAATAGACTTATTAGAATAATGTATATACCGGGTTGGTTCGAGGCGATTTGGATCAAGTCCGAGAAAAAGAGTGTAGTCATTGTAATTGAGAGATATGATGGTATTATAATAACAAAAGTGTGTAGTTGATCTCTTTATTTTCAAAAGGGTCAGAAATTTTAGATTCATTCAGATCTCTTAAAAATCGTTTGAAATAGTTCAAGACGATCATAGAACTTTTCATAATTGTTATAACCGTTCGGAATCAATTTAAGAATCATTTTAGAAGTAAACAGGACCGTTTAAAATAGTTCACGACGATCTTAGGACTTTACATAACAGTTCAAAATTATTTAAAATCGTCTAGAATCATTAAGAATCGTTTTAGAGGTGACCACAAGGCCGTTTGAACTAGTTCAAGTTTCAATCCTTTTTAGAAGTAACCAGGACCGTTTGAAATAGTTTAGAACGATTTCAGAACTATTCATAACAATTTAATATCATTTAAAATCAACCTAAATCATTAAGAATCATTTTAGTAGTGACCTGCAGGACCGTTTGAAATACTTCAGAAGGATCTTAGAACTTTTCATAACAGTTCAAAATCATTTAGAACCGTCAGAATCACAAAGAATCATTTTAGAAGTGACCATAGGACCGTTTGAAATAGCTCAAGACGATCATAGAACTTTTCATAGCAGTTCAAAATCATTTAGAACCGTCCAGAATTATTAGACATTATTTTAGAAGTGACCACAGGACCGTTTGCAATAGTTTAGAACGATTATAGAACTTTTCATAACAGTTCAAAATCATTTAGAACCGTCATCAGAATCACAAAGAATCATTTTAGAAGTGACCAGGACCGTTGAAACAGTTCAGGACGATCTTAGAACTTTTCATAACACTTCAATATCATTTAGAATCGTAAGAATTATTAAAAAATCATTTTAGAAGTGACCACAGGACCGTTTGAAATAGTTCAGAACGACCTTAAAACTTTTAATAACAGTTCAAAATCATTCAGAACCGTCCAGAATCATTAGGAATCATTTTAGAAGTGACCACAGGACCGTTTGAAATAGTTCAGAACGACCTTAAAACTTTTAATAACAGTTCAAAATCATTCAGAACCGTCCAGAATCATTAGGAATCATTTTAGAAGTGACCACAGGACCGTTTGAAATAGTTCAGAACGACCTTAAAACTTTTAATAACAGTTCAAAATCATTCAGAACCGTCCAGAATCATTTAGGAATCATTTTAGAAGTGACCACAGGACCGTTTGAAATAGTTCAGAACGACCTTAAAACTTTTAATAATAGTTCAAAATCATTTAGAACCGTCCAGAATCATTTAGGAATCATTTTAGAAGTGACCACAGGACCGTTTGGAATAGTTAAGAATGATTATAGAACTTTTCATAGTAGTTCAAAATCATTTAGAACCGTCCAGAATTATTAAGAATCATTTTAGAAGTGACCAAGACCGTTTGAAATAGTTCAGAACGATAATAGAACTTTCCAGAACTGTTCAAAATTATTTAAAACATAGTCAGAAGTGTTTGGAATGGTTCCTAATCTGCAATAATTTACAAACCATATAATCTTTTAGAACTTTTATTTATTTATATTCAATAAAATATTGTTGATACAGATAAACTGTTTCGTTGCCACTGATATTTCATCGTTCATACATAAATAGAAATAGACGAAAATAAATAGTTAAAAGTAAAACTAATTGTTATTTAAAAATTTTCACCTATTCACCTTTTTCCAAAGACGATGATGCTTTTTTTTTTGTTTAAATCTCATTGTATTTGATTCGTAAATTACCATGAATGGGCATCCGATTTCGAAGTTATTTTAGGAAAAATACTCGGAAGCTAAAATAGAAAAAGTGAATGGATTTGTTCATGAATGACATCTCCTTGGAATTAATCTTCTAGTAAATTTCAGCACGGGGTAAAAATGTTGCATATTCAGAGTGAATTTGTTATTGTTATTGTTTTAGTCGAAGAGATGAGCGTTTGGTTTTGATCTAAAAATAGAGGGTATATTTGAATAAAAAAGCGATATTATTATCCTGACCACTACAACATTTAAAAGTGTGGTTTAGGACCCGCCGAAAAGCGACCGAACGAGAGGATCACAAGCAGGTCAACCACCCGAAAAAAAACCATTTTCGACAAAAAATAAATTGTGTCTGGTCAGGACAGGACGAGATAGCAGGTGGTTTTTTTTGTTCCTCTTCTTCTTCTTCTTCTTCATCTCGTTCTTCTCGGTGTTTACCATTTCTCCACTTTTTTTTTTTTTTTGGGTGCGTCGTTCCCGTTCGCAAGAGATTATTTCTCTTCCATTGCGACCGTTACCGAAATATCGTTTTGAATAAGTTTTATTTTAAAATTTGAATTTCTTATCAAGTTCAATAAACTCCGAAAACCTTCGAGGACGTCGGTGTGTTACACTTTTCGAATGCATCTCAGGTCTGTACGTGGAAAAATCGAGGAAAATCTACCGGGAATTCTCGAAATTTGGATTTTTAATCAGCAATTTTTTTATACGAAAAATATCCACACTCAACGATTTATTCAACAAACCAAAAAAAAGCTACAGCTTGTAAAATAATATTTTGGTAGTTATTTTTTTTAAATTCGATCCTGTTCGATTCGGTAAATCCCGAGTTACGTGAAGAAACTTGTATACCGTGACCTTAGAGGAGAAAGTGCCTAATGCCTAATGCCTAGGTAGGAACCCATTGGATTTTAACCTAATTTTGAGCCGGTAGTTGGAGCGTTAAATTTCTTCTGATGGGCCTAAACTTTATCGATGTCAAGGATTAATCACGCTGGGTCGATAACCGACGAGATTTAAACGAAAAAATTTAGAAAATTCGACACGACTTTCTGGAAGAAACTTGCCTTTTTTATTATTACACTAAAAGGGTAGGTAGGTAATTAATTTGGAGGAATTAAAGTTTTGTTATTTCATAATTATTATAGATATGTACATTCCTCAAGATTAGTAATGATTAGTTTTGAAGTAAAATATTAAAAACAATATACTCGTATTTTTAATGGAATGACATTTTAACCTGTAATGGTGGTTGCATAATGCAAAGAGACTCTCTAATGGCGTATGTTTTTCTTTATTATAATAACTGGCGTTTAATTTTAAACTTCACTTAAGTTCATTAACGTTGCACCGTTTATAAAAGTGAAGCGTTTAGTTAATCTATAACTTTTTGGAGTTTTTATTTGGAATATTAAGGAATATATAATGTTGATTACACCTAGTTGTCATTTGAGAAAAAAAGACCACAGAATACAGAATTTAGGTTCTATATTCTCAGCATTCTGTGAAAAGGACATTTAATGTTGTTTATTTTGTGATTATTGTATTTTATCAATCATCAGATATTATTTACTTGTGATGGAAATTGAACAAATAAACATATAGATTTTAAAGATATTTTTGATGATGATTTGGAAATGTTGGAGATTTGGATAAAACAGCTACCCCACCCCTCAAGGAAGGAGTCCTGGGTAACTTTACAATTTTTTATAGAAATCCCTATTTTTTTATTGAAAATTAGGAATCCTGGTATCAAAATTAGCAAATTTTTTCAAATTTATCAAGAAAAAAACTAAAATTTCGAAAATTATTACAAAAAGATATTTACTTTATTGCTAATTATCTGGTTGCATAACACAGTAAAGTCTATTTTCGTTTAAACCGTTCATAAACCATAAAAATTTATCGTTTAATCTTAAGCGAACATTAAAAAGTTAAACTTTAATAGGGTTTGAACTACGTTTGAAATCCCATTGGTGCAAGAATCCGTTAATTAAATAAAACTAATTGAATAAAACTAATTGAGTTTAATTATCTACCGTATAGCTGCATTTTGGAATATATTAATTTGAAAATGAAAATTTCTAATTCTTTCTACAGCTGCCATGAAATGTTAAATATCACTTATACAGACAAAGATACAGAAATTTGTTATATGCATGTTGAATAAAGATGAAAACTTTGACGAATCACTGTGAATTCGTATTGAAAATCGAGAGAGATGTAAGGATATTAGATTCGTCTGTTAGATAAAGATCGACATGTTAAGGAGAGAATGTGGCCTACGTTTAAATGATGTAACAGCTAATCCACAAATGTGACGTAGCCGCACTATTAGTTGCATAGTTGCAGTAATTTATTAATATCAATTTTGTTCATGTTAGATGTATTAAAGAAAAAAATAAACGAAGCATATTTTTTTATAAAAAAGAATTTATTTTTTATTCAAATAATGTAATAAAAGAGGTGGAACTTGAATTTCCCATTAGTACTAAAGTCTGTTCGCCGTGAGAATCTCGTAAACCACAGAACATATACAGGCTGTTCAAAAAATAGATGTCAATAATTCATGAAAAATAAAAAAAAGTTCTCCACGGCGGGGAATCGAACCCCGGTCTCCCGCGTGACAGGCGGGGATACTGACCACTATACTACCGAGGACTTATACAAACTGTATCAAAATTATTCTATAAAAACTATTTTACAAAAATTTACTCATTAATATTAACACATTAACTGCCACATCAATCATAGCATAATCAGAAATAGACGATATTACGATTTTTATTTGAACATCGCATTTAAATTTCGCACACATATTCGGACGTATTGGACCCGCATCTCATTTAAATTATATATAATACGAGCAATATCGAAAATTGGACATTTTTTAACAAAACTGAAAATATTTCAGAAACGGTGATTATTACGTATAGGGAAATGTTAAGAAAAATAATTCATTAGGTAAATGGCTTCTTATTGGAGATTATTAATACAGGGTGCCCCTTAACAACAAATTAAAACTACCTTTTAATCGAAAACTACTAATGCGATTTAAATAATATTTGGTACGCATATGTTATGTAATAAGACGAACCTCTTAAAAATATTTTGACAGTCGTACCACTTCCGGTTGTACCGGAAGTAGGCATCAATTTTGTTTTTTCAAATGAAATACCCTGTATATATTAACATATTTTTAAAATCTACGTAAAATTTTAGTGCACTTTTGTCTAAAACACTTTTTTAAAAAATGCCTAATTTGTGAGTTATTAATTTCTTTTGAAAAATTTGACTGATGCAGGCCTTTGTAAATTATTTTTTAACGGCGATTCACTTAAAGTTATGGAAAAGGTTTCTATAGGGTGACTACTAGAAAGGTTAGAGGTATTTGAACCTGCGTTGAAAAATTTTTTATTTTATACATAATGTATACAAAAAATGTGAAAAGTTAAACTTCAAATATATCAAATTTCTTAATTTTTTGAAATGAAACCTTCCATTTTTCTATTTTAATGAAATCAGCGGTCAAAAATAAGGAAAGTTCATGTTTAGTTCCCTATACCTAAACCTAATAGGTTTGAAGATATTCAAAATTTTACATAAAACTTACTTTTCTGCAATGCCTAATAATTTGTGCATAATTATGTATATTGAACAGTTTGTGCGTATTAATTCACGTCCAAATCATAATTTTTGGTTCTTCCTGTATTCCGGCATGCAATTTTTTAAACATTTGTATACAACTTTTTGGGACACACTGTATAGAAAGTGAAATGTAAGGGAAAGAAACTCAAACTTATGGTCACCTTTTGATACAAAAATGTATGAGAAACAATCCAAAATAAAGGAAAAAGAAGAAATCTTTTCTTAAACCGTAGATTACAATAATGTCCTTTCTGTTTTAATATGTTATACGTTATATCGTTTATTGTTATATTTATTACACCATATATATATTTATAAATATTAAACGAAATATTACAAAAGCGATTGATATTTATTATAAATTGCACCAACGTATCGACAAATTTGTGAATTGATCCAGCAGTGATAAATGCAAAGAAAGCTAAGAATTTCATCCAGAGTTGTTTTCCAGAATTTAAAGACTTGTGGCAAGCGTAAAGACGCTATAACAAAACTGCAATACCTAAAGAAATATTCTCATATTTATTATAAAAAAAAGTGTAAACATGGGGGTATTAGAAAAAATATATTCAAAGAGATATTCATAAACCCCTACTTACACTTAGATTATAAGCATAATTAAATGTCTGGCCTTGAATCAAATTAATTTTTAATGGTTCCATCGAATTTACCATCATTATCTGTAACATCTGGCGATTTTTTTTATTCCAGTGAATCCAAGGTGTTTCGCATAAAGTGTTATATAAATTTTCGGACTGAAAAGGGTAATTGGATTTGTTTCTACTCATATTTTATAACATTTTTCATAACACTTACCTCATCCGCTAATAATTGCCCGTAATGAGTGTAAGTACTCAGCAAAATTAAAGCTATTCCTATATTGCAATACATGGTGGTGTCATAAAAGGGGTAGGTTTTCTAAAATATATGAATTAATTTAGTGTACTGTTTTTTCAATTTATAAATACTTACTGCATACACGAAATAATAGCTAACTGCTATGGTAACTCCACCTAAAGCGCTCAAAACAAGTATAGGCATTTGCATTAAACTTAAATGATAATTGTTAAAACTAAAATAAATTAGAAAAATTAATAATAACGTTCATGTACGAGTATTATAGTGTTAAACTTACTAAGCTATGCTGTTATGATGCTTTACACAAAATTTCAAAATTTCGCCAATATAATTTTGATAGTTTTCATCATCTATCGAATGACTCAAATTATTTAGACTCTCCTGTAAAAGATGCCTCAACAAACGTATTTGACAAATAACTTGAGCAATGCAATAAATTATAAAAGACAACGATACCACGGTGTGACAAGAAATCCCAGTCACCACTGACAAAACCATTATAGCAGTGCCCACCTCATTCGTGTATTCCAACATATAGTTTATAATAAGGAATAATTTAATTTCGCCTTTAAGATTAAATGCGGCATATATATAATTGCAAAGAAAAAGCAAGACGACAAGGCTAAAAAATATAAATTTCGTTTTCAACACTTCCCGGGAAATGGTCCTGTTGAAATTGGCGTCTTCTGTTGTTAGTGATCCACAAAATTTCGCTAAGTCTCTTTCGATGTTCTTAAAGAGCAAAAGGAAATAAGGGTTAATGAAGGCCATAATAATGAACTAGAAAAAAATACAGAAAAATATTTCATTTCATGTCATTAGAACTTGTATTGTAATTGCTATTAGTATAGTTAACTTACAGGTTGACAATTTATAATACCCACTATACTGGCTACATAATTTCTGTTTAGGTACTGTTTAGCAAAGAAAAGTTCGTAGATCAAAATAACTATATTCGATTCCATCATCATTCCCACGGTGTACGAAATAACAATTAATTTTATTGGATGAGCTATGAGGTGAGAGAAGAATATTGCCCTTCGCATGAAATAAAAAGGATTATCTGAAAATACGCTTCAAAATAATATACATATGTGCACAATGTAATAGTAAAAGTAATAGTAAAAACCGAAACTGAATAAAATAGAAAAGTAGAAATTTTATAATAGTTATAGACAAGAATATTAATTTGGTGATATACCTGTCATGGGTTTGAACTTTATTTTATTTTCGATAGTTTCCATTATTACTATTCAATTACCGATGGTGAAATAGTCTTTTAAAAATGAGTTTAATATGAAACCTTTATCAATTAAAACTTCTATTGTTTCACTAATGGTAATTTAATATCTTAAAACTAATGATCTGTATCGTTAACAACTATCCTACGTAAATAATAAGATCAATTAATTGCTCATATTCTGACTACATACTTTATTTGTTTTTTAATAATGTTTTTTATTTAATTGTTTTTTATTATGCTTGCTTAATATTTTAAATTTGAACTATTTTTTACAGATGAACCAACCAAACAATAATCTATCGACAGAAAAATAATATTTTTATTAATCAGTATTATACATAGATAAAATAATACTTTCTTTCTCTACGAATCAGTATTTATAAAAAAAAATGTATAAATTTATCCTCTTTAAATGTATTTCCATTGTCTAATTTATCAAAAAATAATTAATTTCTAATTCTTTTTTGAAATATTTAAAATATAGTGACTGAATAACTTAATAGTTAGAGTACATTGTAAAGGAGAAATCGAATTGCGAAAAGGGAAATATCTCAAAAAGTAATATAACTTTAGGTATAGGGAATGATTAATAAGAATGAAAGTACTTTAAAAATACTTCATGTTAACGATATGAAATACAGGGTGATCCATTTAAAATAACGGAGAAAATGTTACTTTTGCGTTTGTATCCACCCTGTAAGGAGTATGATTAAAATTCACAAAAAATATTCATTTTGTACATTTTCAGGATATTCGCAATGTTGTAAAATCTAAAATTTATTTTCAATTCAATCCATTTAGTTTCTACAGAGTGGTAAACTTAGTAGGTACGATTTTCGTTTAAAAGTGGTCATAACTTTTAAACCACTCAGTATAACGTTATAGAAAATTTATGTTTTTGGAAAGCTGAAAACGAGCTCAATTCAATTATTAAATAAAAAACAGGGTGTTCGATTTAAAAAAGAACAAGTATCATCTACTACGGAAAAACGGGACACTCTGTATAAATGTAACTAATTTTACATCTACACCTTTTGTAATGAAGTTTTTTTTGATATCTTCTACAATAACAGATATATTGAGCTTTTCCATACTTATGTGCCACCCTATATATTTGAAAATATTTTAGAAAAACATTAATTATCTATCCTTTACTCCTAAATTTTCAGATTTCTAACTTTTCAGGATTTCCTATAACTTCTAATGGAGGATTTCCTTGAAAAGCACTGTATAAAGTAAAAAGTAATCTATTAAATTTATTTTAACACCACATTTTTTGAACGATATAAAGAAGACAAATTTTTTCAGTTTTACAAACCCTATGATGATGATCTCTAACAATATTAAGTTCAAAATCTGAGCGGTATTTTTCAAAAATAGGTTTAAATTTTATAACACAGCGTTGACAAAAAACAAAGCAATTTTTAATATAATATTTATTACAAACACAGTCCAAACGCAATACCTATGTAAATTATATTCTGTGCTCCAATCTGTTTAGCTAATCATATAGCATAACGCATATAACTTGGTACATTTCTAGAATATATCCAAAAACTAAAATGATTTAAATTTTCCAAACATAAAAGAGGGTTGTCCACAGATTCACTGTAAGCATTTTCTAACAAAAACTTTATCTGTATAATCGGTATATAATTATACCTATTTGCTATATTTCGGCAAAACTTCATACATTAGCGTAGGAGGTAATAACTTGTGTCTAAAAAATTTGATAATGGAATTAATGTTTACAAAAACTTTAATACAAATATCTTCAAGTGAAAGAATCGTGCAGTGGTCTAAATGGTCTAAAACAAATAATGAAAAATATTAACCAGTGACTCCAAGGTAAAGTATCGAATGATGAAAATTCGTAGTAATTAGTAATTATTGTCGTTTATCATCGTTGACTACAACATCAAATGACCACAGGCAGAAGCATAAAAATAATGGAAGACGATGACGATCAAAATTATCTAAAAAATAAAAAAATATATTTCAAGTTATCTATACAAAATTTCTTTTTTTATAATAGATATTAGGAACCTCCAGAACGTAAGTACCAGTACCGTTTTACAAGTTTTTGCATGTTAATTAAGAACAGTTTTACCTAGTATGTACATAGAGAAACTTGAAATCACACTTATGTAAAAATGTTTTGCATTAAAGAATAAATATACTGCTCCACAAAAGTTAAGGAAGTTCATAAATATTGAGATTAATTTAAAAGTTGCAGGTTTTTGATCGCCAAATTTAGTATGAGTTGTAGAGGCAGGGGCAAAAAATCCACTCAGATGTGAGAAAAAACATTTAGTTTCTCATATTTGAAAATTTGGTGATCAAAAAGTCTGTAACTTTTAAAATAATTGCAAAATTTGCGAACTTCCTTAACTTTTGTGGAACAGTTTATTTATTACAACGAAATTTTTGTAAAGTTACTTATCAAAATTAGTTTCTTTATCATTTACCACAATGCATACAAAATCTTTTAAAATTAATAATAAAAACAATTTATCAAATGAAATTTCAAGTAATAAATGGCCAGTGGCATTTTAACAAATATGAAAACATTTTTGAGTATGTGTGATTAAAAATATCAAGTGGGGGTAATTTAAATCAGAATTTTCGACAAGGTACTTTTTTGTAAGAAGGTATTTCATATTAAAAAAAAACTTACCTAATTTTGAATAATTTCAAATGAAGAAAGAGGGTTGGGCTTTCCGAAATCCACCGATTCCTGAAATATTGAATATTTCTTATCGACAAAATAGTTATTTTGTAAACTAGGTAAAAACACCCTAAATTCACCTAAGACCAATAACACAGATCTTCTAAACCGTGTACCGATCACTTTTGTACTTTCGATTGGATATGGTGAATTTTTTGTTAATTTGTAATTTTTGTTGTTGTTTTATTTTCTATAAGAGAAACTTGGTTAATTTTTGTCAAATCCATCTAACAAACATTTACCACAGACTTGTTACTTTATGAAAGACGAACGGTAAAACACTCTCTTAAATATTGAACGAAATATTGTTATCAGTTATTTTGTCGTTGTATAATCGGTTGATTTTGTAAGGCCACCGTTTTTATTGCGGTTTTATTTTGTTGAATAAATAGTTAATTTATTGGGGTTATCAGTTTTTCTCCTATCAAATATTTACGTCTGACATGTTACTTTGTATGAATTATTGTGAAACACTCGCTTTAAACATGAATCTTTGTTTCATTTGTGGTAATCTTTGCGGAATAAAATAAGTCGTTTAAAATATTTAAATAGTTTGTTATAATACAGTTTGTAATATTTATTTTTATTTATAAGTACCCCTAATAAAAGACGTCCATACCCCCGTTATTTTTGTTTTAATTATACAGGGTTTTCCACTGTAGCCGTGCATTAGAACTTTTCGGAGTTCCTGAAGATTTACGAATTTAAAAAATTAGGACTATGGTATAATCAATGTTGTAAGTTTTTCTAAAATATTTTTAACCATATGTGACTAGATGTCTTCGTTAACTCCGTCTACCTTCGTTATTTTAAATAGAAAGTACCATTTTTTTACTTCATTTTGGATTCTGTAGCCCTTTTAATCTAGATTTTGATAACAGCACCTAAACCATATGCCAAAAATGCACTATTTTAAAGTAATTCAGTTTTTTTTTCAATTCTTTTTGGAAAAACTGTCGAATGTATTTTCTGTCATATCTCTGGTAATAATGCACCTAGAAGTTTTAAATTTGATATCGATAATGTCCAGGCACTGTACTAAATGAAACTATACTAAATGTTCATGGTTCATTTACAGAGAGTTTAAAATTTTCTGGACAACTTGGCTTACTTAGAGTGGCCAAAACTTTGTTATTTCAAATGGATCACCCTGTATTTTTAGGCATTGAGCAATGGATATTTTTAAGCTCTTTCAGTGTTTTTAATAATGTATTTAAATACAAATACTTAAAAAATGTATTTTGTTCATGTATTTAATGTATTTTTTCAATTAATCCAATTAATCCAATTTAAATAATATTTAGTATGAATATGTTACGCAATAAGACGAACCTCCTAAAAATATTTTAACAGTCAAATGAAACACCCTGTATATTAATATATTTTTAAAATCTACGTAAAATTATAGTGCACTTTTGTCTAAAACACTTTATTAAAAAATGCATAATTTGTGAGTTATTTATTTTTTTTGAAAAATTTGAGTGACGCAGACCTTTGTAAATTATTTTTTTACGGGGATCCATTTAAAGTTATGGAAAAGGTTTCTGTAGGGTGACTACTAGAAAGGTCAGAGGTATTTGAACCTGCGTTAAAAATTCTTTTATTTTATATGGGGTGTGTGCAAAAAATGTTAAAAGTTAAACTTCAAAAATATAAAATTTCTTAATTTTTTTAAATGGAATCACCAATTTTTTTCTATTTTAATGAAATCTGCGGTCAAGAAATAAGGTAAGTTCATGTTTACTGCCCTATACCTAAACCTAATAGGTAAATTTTAAATAAATTTAATTTAATATAAATAATAATTAATTACAAATTGAATATTACGTGTATTCGATTATACTTTTTGGACATCCTGTACATTTTACCGACTTTCCTAAAAGAATAACATTAAATTTGGTCCATTGTAATGCTGTATTAATAATTTTACCTAAAAAAAAGTAATAACTACCGAAAATTTGAACACTAAAGTAAACGCTGCAAAATTACAAAACTCGATTTTTTTCAATATAAAAAACCTTGATGAAACTTAAGTTTCATATCTCTTTTTTGGGACATCCTGTATAAACACTTACAACCTTTTGTGAACCACTTTTTAAAATAAAAATCGACGTGTCCGAGCTTTTTTTCCCAATGCACAAATCAAGCATTTAACGAATTTGTTCCAACCTTTACACTCTCACTGTATATTTAAAATTACCATTTTAATTCAATTACGGGAGCTAATTATCACAAAATCATCTAAATATGCTAAAAGTGTGATGCCTAGTTTTCTACTAAAGTATTTTTTTAAAACAATGTTCATTCATTTTCACATTTAACACTGGAATTATTTTTTTCCATTAATAGATTAATGTACCCATTTGCTCGTTAATAACCCAAATTTCACTCGTTTTTTTTGCCAGTGTAAATAAAGCAATTTTTATATAAACCTGCCTAAATCCCTTCTGTTGTAATCATATTGACAAAGAGATTTGCATTGGTATATACGTATAAAAAAATTCTCAAAAATTCGCTAGTAATTTCAAGCAGTATGCTAAGCACATTGCAAGATGGAAGAAACAAACGTTTTAAAAAATAGTGAGGCCTTACAAGAAGTCAAATACATCCCGAACGATAGCCCTACAGTGCAAAAACTCAAACCTACAGCTGATAGAAAACAAGACACCTTCTTTTTATATCTCTCGGTGTTGTTAAGTGAGTATTTAAAAAATTAGTGTACTCTACTTAATCTCAATCATCATCTCTTATAGCTCAGTTACCTATAATAGTGTCAGGATCTTGTACAGTATGGACATCTCCAGCTTTAATCAAACTAAAATCGAACGACAGCGATGTAAACCCATTAGGAAGGCCAATAACCACGGTGGAAATATCCATGATTTCGGGTCTTCCCATAATATTCGGCTTAGCAGGAAGCATGCTACTACCGAAACTCTCCGACATCATCGGCAGAAAGAAACACCTCATGTCCATGGGGTTCTTCGTGCTCGCCTCGGGAGTAGCCCTGGCGTTCAGCAAACGCGTGATCTACATAGTCATCTCCAGGTGCCTGCTGGGCACCGCCCTCTACGGGTGCTACTCGGTGGTACCCATTTTCATCGCGGAAATATGCGAGAACCACAATCGCGGGAAGTTCGGCTGCTTCCTGGGGCTGGCCCACCAAATCGGCCACTTGTTCGCCTTCCTGGTGGGCCCCGTCTTCAGCATCAAATACTTCACTCTCATAATCACCTCGCCTGCTCTGGTGTACGTGCTGCTCTTCTTCATGGTGCCCGAAAGCCCGATTTACTTGCTCAACCACGGTAGAGAGAAGGAGTGCAGGGAGGCGTTGAGGAAATTGCGTAGCAACAAAACCGATGAAGAGATAGATGGTGATTTGGAGAAGATCAAAGAGGATTTGAAAGCGACTGCTTCGGCTAAAAAAGCTACGGTGGTGGATATATTTAGAGTGAGGGAGAATCGAATTGCGCTGATGCTGGCGTTGCTGCCGGTGATGACGCAGATTTTGTCGGGGGTGACTATTATAATGGGGTTTCTAGCGCCTCTTTTCAACGCAGCCGGTACCGGTTTATCCGGAAACACTGTAGCTATTATTGTAGCAACGATCAAAACCACATCTTACGTATTCACTTCATTCGTAGTTGAAAGATTCGGGAGGAGAAGAATGTTGTTAATTTCTTCGACTTGTACTGGTATACCACTGTTTGCTCTAGGGCTGTATTTCTACTTGCAACACATCCACTCGCCGTTTTTGCAGCACCTCCAATGGCTCCCTCTTGTGGGGATTATAGCGAATGTGATGTTTTACGCTAGCGGGATCGGTCCTATACCAATGGCGATAACCAGCGAGCTGTTCCCGTTGGAGCTCAGAGCTGCGTCGTCTTGCATCCTGAACGGCGCCATTCATTTCGTGGTGTTCGCTCAGATTTCGTTGTTTCCCATTGTTTCTGAGTCGCTGGGGATTCACTGGTGCGTTTGGCTGTTCAGCGGGTGTTGCTTCATCGGAGCTGTTCTGATTTACTTGTTTCTGCCAGAAACCAAGGGGAAGAGTTTCGCGGAAATACAGCGGATGTTGAAGGATTTTTAGGTTGTAAATTTGTGGAATTAAAGTGTAAGAATGGTTGGTTAAAAACTGATTAATTAATTGATCAACTGGATTCGAACAAATTTCTTATAACAGCTGAATAAATTTGCAATTATAAATACCTTCATATATTGGTTTTTTATTAATTAAGCGGCATGTAAAGAATGTTCTTTTCTTAATTGTTGGTAAGCATAATAAACTTTTAACCGCATAATTATCTTAGATATCACATCTCTATTATTTCGAGTACAATTTTTTTGCACGAATTAGTATAGTGGCATTTTAGGTTTGAAGTAATGATACTTATTAATAGTGGAGGATCTTAAGTAAGGTTGATTTGCACCGATAATTAGGAGAAAATGATGTTTAATGTTCGGTTTCACCAACAACAAATCTATAAATAGGTAGTTATTCTATGAATAACTTTTAAACGCCATTTATATATTTTGTCGTTTATTTTTTGGTTTTTGTTACTGTGTAATTATATTTGGAGTTTGAGTTTGAGAGTACGTGATTTTAAAATGGACCAAATAAGGGAAGGAAGCAGAAATTACTTGGAAGAAAAAAAGGAAAATTTAATAACGATCCTTCTTTCTAAAACAATTCGAGGTCGTCTAGCTATAATGAAAATATTCATCAGATTATGTTGAAGATGATGATAAAAGTCTAATTAATAGATAAATAATTTTGAATAAACTTAAAAAGTACATATTTGTATTATCTGTCACCTGTTATCTATTATTCTCAAACAAACTAAAAATACAACAAATAAATTAAATTAAAAATTCGCAATCAGAAAAACACTTATAAGATATTACAAATTCATATTATTTGAGGTTAGGAAACATCAAATAAAACTTTAACTGTCCAAAAGTGTGTATTTTATTGGACTGTTAAATTTATTCATCCAATAAGGTTTAATTTGTCGTTGGTGAAACCGGACATAAATGAAATAGGTTTGTGCACGAGTAACAATAGGGTTGCCGTAAAAAATGCTCAAGGCTATACAGAGTGTTCAAAAAAAGTATCACAAGAGGACCTCATTACCCTGAGGACGAATAAGGGTTAAGAAACAGATGGTACGAAATATTTTTTTTATTTTTTTACAATTTTTACATTTTTTTCATACTCTTTTCTAAATCTTACTTTTACGCTTACTTACATATAATATTTTCTTATAACAACCCTAAAATTACAAAACTACATGCTACCCTTACCTAAAATTACACTAAGAACCTATCACTAATGATAATAGAGCTTATTAAATTAATGGGGACCACCAGTACCATAACTCGGACGTAATCGCTTACGAAGCAACATTCCCCCTAATATTACAACTTACACCACATCTACGAAGAATTCAGAATCCTAAAAGAAAGCTTAAGCCCTTTTCTTGAAGAGTGCTACAATCGCAAAGTACCATTTAAGGACTAGGAGGGCCCTAAGCTTTATCGGAGTTGCAGAATCACGACCCAACACAAGATAGACAACTCTCTGGCAAAACGAACGAAGATAAATAGCCGACCAGACAATAAAACTAAAAAGCATAATGTTGACGACAATCAAGACTATCACCGAAAACTCCTAAGAATACAAACGATACTAGCAAATGGTGGTGCTTTCAATCTTAAGCATGCACACATATCCAAACTAGAACAAGTATTCTACTACTTCGCAAACAACATAGAAAAAGAATAGAAAACTTAATCGAGTTCCACCTAATGGAGACTCTACAAAACCAATACAACTCGCAACATCAGCTAATCAAGCATACAAGATCGACCACACGACTGATGGTCCTGACATCCTATAGAATACACCAAATCCCAATCAGTGTTCTAACGCGCGGGATCCTATATGCAGACCTAACAAAACTGACCAAATAGATCTTTAGCTTCGATCAAACCCTGGTGGTACCCCTAACAGACTTAGCCCGATACTACCAGCTACCAATATGTAACTGTAGCTTCGAGCAGGACAAAATCTTTATACATGTAAGAGTCCCAGTCGTACAAAACAAAAATACATGGGACTCGGATTTATAACTATCCCATATTCTTGGTATAATCAAACCTGAGGTGATTCGCAGAGTTGAAGGTCAGGCGGATCTCCAACCTTCGTAGGTGTCGATCATACGTCGATAAACTCTGCTATCTCCCTCGATTTTTTTCCGATGAAGTCAAAATGCTGTCGTCTCACGGAGCATCGGTAGAAGAAATTAACTTCTACTACCCGATGAGCTGCTGCTACAACTCCAACACAACGCTGATCGCCGAAATTGACGAGGACGTGTACTTTATCAGTCATCTGAAACTAAAACACACGCTTAGAATGTTCCAATTCACATAGCACCTACCTCCCCTACCATCAGTTATAGGTCGAATTGATGCCCTAAAAATTAAAATACGGTATAATTGTAAACTTACAACCAAGGGAAAAGAGATAATCCCACTGAGATTCCCATGCTTCATAGGAAAACACAAAGAAGTGGAATCATCAGTCATTTGTAATGAAACCCATTGGTAACTTTAACCTCGCGACATTCATGAATTTGAACGGGGTATTGAACCCCAACTGTACGATAGAAATACCCCACCTGAATTTGACCTTCGCAAAGGAAAGTGTTAAGGATACTCAATAACCTCGACCAAATAGACATGCAATAGATCCACAACGACCGAACATTTATGATATGGAATACGATATTATCAATTTTGATAGCTTACCTTCTATTCCACAATAGAAACGGGGTGGCATAGAATTCATAATGATCTGCTCCTTATTCTTGACGTTCCTCTTATACTTAGTATACAAGACAAATTCCTTTTGGATTTCCAAAATACGAAGAAGACGGCATTCACGCTCCTTCCAGCGAGGCCAGACCGAACCAGGTACCAGCGTGATGGACCCAGGATCGGTACCAGTCATCCTGGAAATGACAAAAAGGTCACTAAGCGAAGTTCAAGTAGGAGAAAGAATACCATATACAGTTAAAGTCCCGGAACATGCGATTATATCGAAAACGGTAAGTTTAAAAAAAAACGCCGAAACAGGTCAACTTTATTATTTTTCTAGCAATTTTTTAACCTATTTAGTTGTTCCAAAAGTTGCCGCATGGCGGAGCCACAATGAAAATCAGTTTTTTTTTAATTACAACCACTATTTTTTATTGCATTTTTGGATAGCTGCAGTTATACTGAGTACTTTGATGTGCTACATGTGGGGGTTACATAAGAAATTTTTTCAGATAAGCAGGTTTTTGGTGTTTTGCCGAAATTAAACAAAATCGTTAAACTGCCATTTCAAAATTATTTGCCAACAAGTTCAACTCAATCGTGGTTTTTTCAATTTGATTGACATTTGAATTTAACCAATTTAGCAAAAAAATGTTAAAATTTAAGTTAAAATTTAGCAAAATCATTCTGAACATGTACATCTACATGTAGAAATGTAAACATTGATTAATCAATAATTAATTATTAAATGAAATGAAATCATTTTAATTTTATTAAGTGCGGATCTGTAATTGTAATTTTTATTGGTTTATGTGAATGTTAATTCAAGTTCAATAGGTCTATTTCAGGAATTTCCATGAAAGTGTTAAGTAAATCTGGTTTTATTAAAGAAAAAATAATTAAAATCCCTTCAATTACAATTTACATGAACCAAAAATCTCATAATGTACATTTTAACGTTTAAATTTGGGTAGAAAAACGGCATGCGGGAAAATAAAAAGTTGATGAATACATTCAGTTTTTTATGCTCTTTCTGAATTTGAAATTCAATTTTTAAAAATATGATGTATAGGGTGTTGTTTTAGGGTCGGCCAAATTTTATTAATTTTTCTAAATCCGGACCTGGATTTTGTAATTTTTAATGTGGCAATAAATTGTCCTAAAGGTATAGAATATCTATGCCAAATATCAAAAAAATATACTAAGTAATTCAAAAGTTATAGGTGTCGAAAGAAATGGGCCAAATTCAAAAAACACCCTGTAACTCGGTTATAAAGGGCGCAAGACCCATAGTATATGGGTTTTTTTATGATCCCCTGGGTGACCTCTATATAGGGTTAAAATATTGCCCTTTCCCAATGAAACACCCTGTATTGTTTGAAATATTTTTTATTAATAATTTTTTTGTATTAACAGTCGCCAATACATATTAGATATACAGGGTGGTCCTCTAAGAACGGCTCTCGGCCGTATCTCGCAAACTAATTGTCGTAGAGACTTGCGGTAAAAAATCTTATAACTAAATCGGCCAAAAGAAAATGCTGGAAATAATTTTTAAGTCTCTAAAATGGCCGCTAGGGGGAGTATCCGCCATCTTGATTTTTAAAAGTCATTTTTTTCAAAATTTTCTTAAATAAAGGTATCAAAAATGTGTTTTATTTTGATAGTTAAGATATTTTCGATTATTTTTTGTTATATATTTTTGACTCTATCTTTTAAAATAAAGTGGTGGGGGTGGTTTGAATATTTTGACTAATAAATGTTAATAACTTTTAAACGGCTGAACCGATTTTCAAAAAAATGAAATTGTTGAAAAGGGCTTTCTTTGGTCTATAATTTACACTATATAAGATATTATTTTAATTGCTTGCTTGGCCGCAAGATGGCGCTTTTCGACATTACTTCAAAAAACACCGATTTTCTCAAAAAATTTAAATGCAACGATATAACTTTTTTTTGGAAAAAAATAATAAAATAATTGCCAAACCAGCCTGTGAAAACCGCATCTCGATATTCCCTTCCTAACCTAAAATATATCTAAAAAAAAGAAAAAAATCAAGAAAATGGGCAATTTTTGCTGCACTACCAATATGAAAACCTCTATTTAGCGTTGTTCCACCCACAAAAATAATCAATTTGTTAATAATCTTCAAGTATGATATTTAAAAACACCAAGCTAAGTAATATTCATTTAATAATTATTGGATTTCCCTTCTATTCGCACTAGTTGAGAACAAACGAAATAACCATGCCGTGGAAAATAAAAAACCCAAAAAACTGGACACAGCAGGTCCAGAATAATAAAGGACATTGATATCAACGTGTGATGTGGTATACTAGGTGACAGTTGTTGTTCCCTGGTTTATTAATGGGCGACTCAACGGACAAACATATCTAAATTTTCTTCGTAACGAATTTCCTGGGTTATTGGAAGATGTTCTTCTGGAAACTCCAAGAAATATGTATTTCCAACCCGATGGATGCCAAGCTCATTTTTCTAGACTAGTTCATTAGATTTTTTGGTTTGTTTTATTTTCCACGGCATGGTTATGGTCTTTTGTTCTCAACTAGTGCATATAGAAGGGAAATCCAATAATTATTAAATGAATATTACTTAGCTTGGTGTTTCTAAATATCATACTTGAAGATTATTAACAAATTGATTATTTTTGTGGATGGAACAACGCTAAATAGAGGTTTTTATATTGGTAGTGCAGCAAAAATTGCCCATTTTCTTGATTTTTTTCTTTTTTTAGATATATTTTAGGTTAGGAAGGGGATATCGAGATGCGGTTTTCACAGGCTGGTTTGGCAATTATTTTATTATTTTTTTCCAAAAAAAAGTTATATCGTTGCATTTAAATTTTTTGAGAAAATCGGTGTTTTTTGAAGTAATGTCGAAAAGCGCCATCTTGCGGCCAAGCAAGCAATTAAAATAATATCTTATATAGTGTAAATTATAGACCAAAGAAAGCCCTTTTCAACAATTTCATTTTTTTGAAAATCGGTTCAGCCGTTTAAAAGTTATTAACATTTATTAGTCAAAATATTCAAACCACCCCCACCACTTTATTTTAAAAGTTTATATCAATGTATGTCCTAAACCTCTTAGTTTTCGAGCTACAGGGTGTTAAAATTTTAGAAAAAAAAACTTTTCCCTCATAATTTTCTTATTGCGACAGATATTTTTATGAAATTTCGGACGTGGACGTCACTGATAATAGTAGAAAATTAATTTTTATCCCCAAAAAAGTGTTTCCATGCATGGTGGGCGCCTACAAAATTTCAACAAAATATCAAAAGCAGTCTCAAAATGAACTTGGCGAAAAAATGATTTTGGTTTTTATTTTTTACGCGAAAATGGTGCGTCGTACGAAAATAAGTCTTCTGACCGAATTTGCTACAAAATAAAAGAGGATTTTAAAAATAATTTTAGTTTTTAGAAAAAGTAGTGGTGAACATTTTTTTTAAACATATTCAGTTCAAACCCCGTACGGACGTCACTGGTGAATATTTAAAAAAAATCTTATGCCTCAAAAAATGCTCCTTAATGATTAAATAGTGTAAACAAAATTTCTTAAAAATAACTGGAGTAATAAGAAAATTATGATAGATAAGTTATTTTTTTCTAAAATTTTAGCACCCTGTAGCTCGAAAACTAAGAGATTTAGGATATACATTGATATAAACTTTTCTTCTTAAAATCATTCAAATATTCACATCTTGAAGTATCGACATTCAATTTATTAACACCCTATATTGTAAATTTGTAAATTCTAATTGAATCGGATAAATGGTCGTAATATGATTTTAATAGATGTCTAACAAAAATCAAAATTATAAGGAAAATAAAATGATTATACCTAATGTATAAATGAGAAGACCGTTTTTAATGAAGCCTTCTTTACCGCCAGCATGTAGAATTATCTACCTAGAATTCGAAGAATTAAAGAAGATATGCTGCCCTTATAAATTCAAAATTGCCGTTTTTCATTATCTGCAATATGCCTGTAATAAATTAGAAATGATATTGTAAAATTATTATATCGTATTTAGCAATGTGAAGACTTACATTTAAGGGTCAAGGGTCGGGAGTCCACGGAGTTTCTCCATCTCCTCCGGAATTAATGATTCAATGAAAAGTTTTTTACGTTGTCTACTAGAGGTATCAGATGTGCTGGTATAAGAATCAATACTTTCCGACTTTTTTTAATATGATTGTAAGTGGATAATGATATCCCGGTAGCTGCCAGGACTCTTTCGCGATGTTTTTCTATCGGAATTCATTCGGTTCCATTTTCTGCTTCGTTCTTCATAAAATAAATAATTCTGGAAATTATTTCTCTTGATTGTGCTCATTCAAAACCAGGCCTCGCTTTCCAACCAATTTATTTTGGCTCATGTTGACACTGTTTATTAAGAGTTTAACAATTTATTAACAATTTATAAAAGAAGATAGGAAACTAAAGGAAAGATAGGAAATGAAAACAAAAATAATACTTACCGGAATATATGTTAAAATAACAATCGCTCCAAATAAAAATTTGTATACATACAGGGTGTCCCAATAGTGCGGTAAAGCCCATTTACTCAGTTATTATAATAGATACGAAAAAATGGTAAATAGGAAAAATGTTAAGCACCTTTAGGCGCACAATTTAAAATTATTTCGAAATATACAGGGTGGCCCATAAATCAAAGCCATACCAAACATACCTTTTTTTAAAGGCAATGATATATTTTTTATTTCATATTCAATTTCACCTCGTATTCACGAGTTTCTCAATATAAGATTTCATATGACTATACTAAGTATTTAAAAAGTTATGGCCATTTTTATGTTCAAATCGACATGATTTCAAGGCCCTGTATATCAGAATCTGTATCAGATAATGTGAATTTTTCTGTGTCAGCACTTTTTGAAAATGGTCTATTTTCACAAAAAATAGTTACATTCTGACAAAATTACAATTTGTATACAGGGTGAGTCAAAACGCAAACATAATAATTACTCGCTTAATTTAAATGGAACACCCTGTATTAATAATATCCAATGGGGAGTCTATTTCTTACTGAATCTTTTTTCATAACATTTCCCTATACCTAACTGTCCCCGTTTCTGAGATATTTTCAATTTTATTAAAAAATGTCCAGTTTTTGATATTATAATTCCATTTTAATCTAATTACCAAT